GGAACAAATGTTAATACTTATTGTATTATTAGTCCCCTACCGGTGAAACCGGAGGGGACTATAGGTTTCCTCTGAGTCTGTCCGTCCGTCTGTCCGTCCGTCTGTCTGTCTGTCTGTCTGTCTGTCTGTCTGTCCCTCTGTCTGTCTGTCAGTCTGTCCCACTTGGTTTTCCGCACTTTTTTCCTAAACGCTTGCAGATATTGAGCTGATTTTTGGTATGTGAGTGTATCTTGATGAGTTACAGATCAAGTTTGCATTTCGTTCCGCTTCATTGATTTTTGACGGAATTACGGCCTTTTCAATTTTTAAGGGTTTTCCGCAATTTTCTTCTAAACGCTTGTAGATATTGAGCTGATTTTTGGTATGTGGCTTTACCTTGATTACTTATAGAACAAGTTTGCATTTCGTCCCGCTTCATTAATTTTTGACGGAATTATGGCATTTTCAATTCTTAACGGGAACCAGATTACACTTGCCGGTAGGGGACTAGTATTGCTAATGCAATACTCTCAGAATGCTTGTTTTAAATGCAAGCGTGCAAATTTCTTAGTTTGATCACTATGGCTACAGGCATCTATACAACGAATTGAGCTCAGTCAGGACCAGAACTCCTGTTGTGGTGAGGTGGGGATTGAATCCATAAATATCACAATCATGGTTAAACATTGATTGGAGACTGGCTGGGTTGTTGCATTTTAAGGCCCTTTCATAATTGGCGCACGAGCAGACGCGACAAAATATTCATGTGACCGAAAAAAATTGATTTGGATCATAAACTGTTGCCGAAATAATCGCATATGAAAAAGTGTTCGTACAAAATTCGCAAGATCTAAAGCGACTGTTTTGCGATGCAAAAGCATTAAATCTTGCGATATATCTTGTGTCTTTATGCGACTGATATACAATGAAAGCGAGTGTTGTAAGATAATGCAATAGGATCACGCGAGTGATCAGGTGATAGGACGATTGAACATGCGCCAATGCGATTGGACATGCGGCGCTCGTACAAATGGTACATGATATGAATACTTGTTCGGGTGCATTTAGGCAACACCCATCAGCCACACAATTCTAAATTGAGAGAACCCGACACAGTGCTGCTTCCTTTTTTAGGTCACCTGAGTCACTCAGGTGACCTATTGCTATCCGTTTTTGTCCGGCGTCGTGCGATGTGCGTTAACATTTGAACATTTTTAGCTTCTTCTCTGAAACCGCTCAACCAATTTCAACCAAATTTGGCATATAGCATCTATGGGTGAAGGGGAACAAAAATTGTGAATTTCATGTCCCTGCCCCCCTGGGGCCTGAGGGGTGGGGCTAAAACCACCAAAATTAATGCAATCTTTAAAAATCTTCTTTACTCCTGGACATCAAGCAGTCAAACTGTTGGCATCATTGTAATGAGCATTGAGTCCTCTACCAAAATTGTGAAATTCATGGCCCCAGGGTCAGGGGTTCTGGTGCTAGGGCGGGGCTATATAGATCATATAGTAAAAGTGCATTATTTCTTTGAAAATCTTCTTCTCTGCTCCTGGGTATTAAATAAACTAACTAAGTATATAGTTATGATGAATAAGAGTGTCTCTTTCAAAATTGTGAAATTCATGGCCCCAGGGTCTGGGATTCTGGTGTTAGGGCGGGGCTCTATTGATTATATAGTGAAAATGCATTAATTCTTTGAAAATCTTCTTCTCTGCTCCTGGGTATTAAATAAACTAACTAAGTATATAGTTATGATGAGTAAGAGTGCCTCTTCGAAAATTGTGAAATTCATGGCCCCAGGGTCAGGGGTTCTGGTGTAAGGGTGGGGCTCTATTGATTATATAGTGAAAATGCATTAATTCATTGAGAATCTTCTTCTCTGCTCCTGGGTATTAAATTCAGTAATTAAGGACATACGCAACGTACCTTACCTACTGATAATTTTTCAAGATATTCTTAATTTAAAATTATAGTGCTATCAGATGTTCATAGACAAAAAATCAGCTTGCATTACCAGGGGTTTTGAAAAGATATCATTTGATGAAAATTCTTGTATAATTCAAAGAAAAATATACAAAAATTACTAAGCATGTATTCTAGATGTTTTGTTTATCCAAACTTGTTTTTGAAGAAGTGTACAACAGCATATATAGACATTAAAATGTAGCACACAGTTCCTTTAAGTATTGGAACTCTTCAACTCCAGGGAAAAAGACAATAAAGTTCAAACTACATTCTGTATGTCCTTAAGTACATAGTTATGATGAGCAAGAGTGCCTCTTTCAAAATTGTGAATTTCATGGCCCAAAGGGGCAGGGGTTCTGGTGTTAGGGCGGGGCTCTATTGATTATATAGTGAAAATGCATTAATTCATTGAAAATCTTCTCCTCTGCTCCTGGGTATTAGATAAACTAACTAAGTACATAGTTATGATGAGCAAGAGTGTCTCTTCCAAAATTGTGAATTTCATGGCCCCTGGGTCAGGGGTTCTGGTGTTAGGGTGGGGCTCTATTGATTATATAGTGAAAATGCATTATTTCTTTGAAAATCTTCTTCTCTACTCCTGGGTATTATTGAAACACATTAAATACATACTTATGATAATCAAGGATGCCTCTTCCAAAATTGTGAAATTCGTGGCCCCTGGATCAGGGGTTCTGGTGTTAGGGCGGGGCTCTATTGATTATAAAGTAAAAATGTTTTAATTCTTTAAAAATCTTTTTCTCTGCACCTGGGTATTATTTAAACAAACTATTAAGTACATAGTTATGATAAGCAAGGATGTCTTTTCCAAAAATGTGAATTTCATGGCCCCGGGGACAGGAGTTCTGGTGTTAGGGCGGGGCTATAGATCCTATAGTCAAGGTGAATTATTTCTTTGAAAATCTTCTTCTCTGCCCCTGGGTATTGTTTAAACAGACGAAGGACATTGTTATGATACACAAGTATGCCTCTTCCAAAATTGTAAATTTTATGACCCCAGGTTTAAGGGTTCTGGTGGGGGGGGGGGGGGGGGGGGGGGGCTTCTATTGATTATAAAGTGAAAAAGCAAAATTTCTTTGAAAATATTCTTTTCTGCTTCTGGTTTAAAAAGCAAAGAAGCTAAGTGTATAGTTATGATGAGCAAGAGTGCTTCTTTCAGAGTAGTGAATTTTATGACCCCTGGGTCAAATGTGCTGGTGTGAGGGTGGGGCTCTTGATAATATAGTGAAAATGCATTAATTCTATTAAATAATCCTGTTTGCTCCTTAGTGTTAAGCAGATAAACAAAGTGATTAGTTATGATGAGCAAACTTATGGTCCCAGGGTCAGAAGCTCTGGTGTTTTTTTTTTCGGGGGGGGGGGGGGGGGGGGCTCTATTGATAATATAGTGAATCTGTAGTAAAAATGAATTAATTCTTTAAAAATCTTCTCCGCACCTGGGCATATCTGAGGTAAATAGAGTAAAAAATTTTATAAGGAAGGGGATTTTTACCAGATTTTTGAACATCTGGACCATTTGGTCAAGTGTTCTGGTCCTGGCCAGGGCTCTATTAGTTTGTATTCTACTGAGAGGAGTTATTCCCCTTTGCCATTTACTTTTGATAATTTATCACTGTAAATAATGTACTTGAAAGGTAAATACATGTAGAATAAGAGAATTATGCAAAAACTTTTATTGTATAATACAAAAAGTACTTTCATTGTTTTAATGATCAGATAGACTTGTAAGTAGTAGATAAATAAAAATGAGACAAAAATAACTTGTCTTATTAAATGTTCATCAAAGACCAAGAGAGGCCAATGTAAGAGATTTCAACAAGGGTTTAAAGTAGTACAGAAGCATTGATAATTTGTTAATATACCATATGGTGATAGTGATAAATGGGGAATGGATTAGAACCTAATTTATGAACTGTTAATGAATATTAAGACCAATTATTTTGTTGATCATGATCACCCTATTTTTTTTTCTTTTGGGCAACAAAGCTTCACCTTTCAGTTCATATTATACTCTATGCATCCTTTCAATTATTGTATCATACTCAGGTGACTGTTAAGGCCCTTGGGCCTCTTGTTCTTATTTCTTCTGATATTGTTATCGTTTAGTATGTGCGTAATTAATTATTGACTGTATTGTTATGACAGCAAAGTGTTTCGGCGGTTTGATATCGTATTGGTTTATATATAATTATATAATATATATGGTGTATATATATAATTTTTGCATGGCAAATTGAAGCCGATAAATCGTGCATTGATAGTAAAACGTTGCAACATTACATGAGACACGTTGAGCAACAGTCTCATGGTCGCAAAACACACGCATAGACAGCTGCGATTCATCTTACAACATTTAAAAATCGTGCATCACTCTTACGAGTACACAAAATGTTGTAAGACGTTTGTACTAATGTTCGTGCATTGCATTGCGATAATTTGGATCGCATTTGGTCGTGTCTGAATAGTGTGCATGTCCAGCATTTTGAGGAGACTTGATGCAACCACTCAAACGCATGCAACAAATGTGAGACATCGTGCAATGTATGCGAGAGCTCGTGCAAAGCTAAAAAAAATTCCGATCGCAAAGTGTTGTAAAGTGCTCGTGCGCCAATTGTGAAAGGGCCTTTAAGCATTAATTGGTCTACAGCAGAAGATGGATGCAAGCTTAGATGCTTGAAAAAGCTGTGCCTAAGAGAAAGTATTTTATGTCCATGCAGGACCCTGAATACATTTATTTTCTGAGTGTCAGGTTTCGTTACTTTTTAAAAGGATCAAATTTCATGGTTTTGCAAGAATATGTTAAATAAATTTACAATGTAGTTGATCAATGTTTTGTGGACAGCTATCTAGTTACTTCCCTCTAAATGTGTTGGTTATTGTAAAATGTACGTAAGTCCATGTTTTTTTATCCAAATGACAAAAAGTATATAATTGGAAATAAATGGAACCAATTTTGCGATTCATTCATTGCATGTTAAGATGGAATTTCTCTGTTCAAATGCAAGTTTACCACTGATGTGTTGTTTTTTTTATAGGATAAGGATAAATCAGGAGGGACTCTAAGTTCCATTGCCAACTTTTTCCAGAACTTGGGACCTAGCCGTAAAACAAAGACTCCTGGGTCACAGCCTCGCTCAGACTCGGAGGCATCAAGCCACCTGTCAGAATCCAGCACAAAGGGCTCAAGCACAGAGTTACCCCCAATTAACCAATCACAGACACCCACTGGAAAAAGAACTCCCTCATATAATGTTAATGGCCCACTTAGTCCCAGGGCAGCAGAAAAAGAAAAGAGTATCCCAAAGGGGGACAATCAGCGAGTCAACACGTGGGCCCAACAGGCAGACTCCAACATAAGTCAGATTACAGCAAGTGCCAATAACAACAAGCTGGTGTACCCAGTCAGGACCAAGACCGTGGAGCAACTGAAGTAAGTTAATTTGTTTCCATAACACTTACTGGGAGTAAATGTTTTAGTAATTTTTTAGTTTTCATTTCATGATTTTAGGGTTTATTATAAGGTTTTAAAGCTATGGATTGATTGATTGTATGTTGTCTATAAACGTCCCATTTAAGAATTTTTCACTCATATAGAGACGTCACCCTATGCCGGTGAAGGGCTTCAAATTTAGACTTATACTCGGCACTCAGGGCCATTAAGCAGTGAGGGTTCTTTATCGTGCAAAAGCCTACCATGACACAGGACCTCGGTTTTTAAGGTCTCATCTGAAAGACCTGTGACATTCACTTCTAGTGTTGGGCGCTTGGCGAAGGAACAGTCACTACCTATGTTTATGTCTTAGGTTTGATGCGGCGCGGCGAACGTGAATCGAACCTGGGCCTCCCGATCACGAAGCAAGTGCCCTTCCACTAGGCTACGGTGAACGGTTTAAAGCTTTGGAAATCCTAACATATTTAGTTCATAATCTGCAATTTAGGGTTAAAGTGACTAATTAGTACATGTACCACTATCTTCAGATACCGTATATACTCGCCTATAAGTCGGTTTTTTGGGAGTTAACTTTTGGTCTAAAACTCTATGTCCGACTTATAGGCGAGACATCAAAAGCTTGGTATTTTTCTGGACGACAACACATGGTATTTTTTACATAACTTCGACGATTATCTTTGAGAAATGTCTGGACGTATTATATTATTTATGTATTCTAAGATTATAAATTATAAATAAAGTATAAATAGATTATAAATAAAGTACAAGTATTTACCGATGTCATATCCTAACATATTATTTGAACACAGGTAAATGAATTAGAGTATTGATATGAAATTTATAAGAGAAGAAAAAAAAAAGAGATAAAATATCGGCGTAATCCTTCAAAATATTATTTGAAAAACGTTAAAACATTAGAGCATTAATTGAAATTGTCCACCAATTCTGGCAAAAAGTTGTACCGACTTATAGGCGTGTCAATTGCAAATCCCTCCAAAATAACCTCAAAAATCACAATCGACTTATAGGCGGACCAACTTATAGGCAAGTATATACGGTACCCACGGGTGATGTCATCTTTTACTCATCACCCTTGGTCAAACTTGCAGAAATATCTTCGTTTATTATGCAAAGAACACGGTACGGTTTCAATACAAATCTTGCCCTGTGTTTTTCTTAAAAATAAAAGCGATGTAAAAAATTAAAACTCATGCTTTTTGAATTATGGAAATTCTATGCAGAAAGATCATACAAATCTTTTTTCTCACATGACCTTCCAAATGCTAATTGTGACGTCATAAACTTGTGCATTTTCCCGTATTTTCTCAAAAAGTTGCAGAAGACATCAATTTTCAATGGAATTTTCTTTCAGATAATACTGTCCACAGGCATCGCCCACAAAGATTTTGAGATATGTGATTTTTCAAAGAATTTTACACAACATATCTAAAAATTAACGTGGGCGACGGCTGTGGACACCATTTTCTTAAGGAAAATAACCCTTGAAATGGGTCATTTTGAGGCTTATTCTGTTTAAAATAGAGAAATGCATCAAATTAATGATGTCATATATCCAGAATGGTACTCCATCATGCTATATTCTTTCCTGATTTATTACAGTCATATACTCAACTTATATTTAAGCCAGTTTCAAAACTTTTTGAAAACATTAAATTTTTAGGGCACAATAAAGCTAAAACCATACCTTCTTCTTTGTCAATTATAGACAACCAATAAGAAAGTTGGAAATCCTCAATTTTGAAAATATGTTTCTAAGTTTGCTGTTTATGGTTATGTCTTGATACCGTTAAAACATGCGAATTTAGTTTTAAAATGATAAAAGACATGTCATTACCTCTCCCAAACTGATAAGTGCGCCGATGAGTGGATTTGTTTGCAATTGGTGTGATAACTATACAGAAAAGCATTTGTCATTGCCGAACATACATATGTAACGTTAACTGTGATTCATTGATTGCCATCGTGATTCTGTGCAGCGGCCAATCAAATAACCTGCGCATATTAATAACATACAACGATATTTCGACGAGTTCGCCCAAGGTAGATAAGTAAAAGACGAGATCACCCGTGGTTAACCATAGTGTCACAGTTTTTAGTAATTTTTTTCTCATTTACTGTATACTTGTAGAAATATACAGTGCTCCAAGTTGTGACTATAAATGGTCGCATTTGAAACCAGAAAATTGATTTTGCGACTAGAAATTAAAGTTCCTGTATATAACTCTCATTTTTTTGGACCGAGTAAAGTTTGGCTGGTGATGATCATTTTGGTACTAAGTAAAGTTTGGCTGTTGATCATCATTTTTGTGATCGGGATCAAATTTACTTTTCCCAAGATTCTCTGTTGAGAAAATGTTTGAATAGATATTTATTCCTAATTAAGCTTAATGAAGCATGGCAAAGATCTAGATTTGTTACGTTATGACAGCATGACAAAGAAATGAATTTCAAAGTTATGTTTTAATAATACAGTTTGGTTAAATTGTAATAGTCGTAAAACAAACAGCATCCAAACAGTAGTATTCAAACATGTTTTAAATTATTTTTTATAAAACCTGACCTTGTTTTTGTTTCATTAATTTAAAAATGTCCTGCCTCAATAGGAGTTCACCTTTTGCATACTTCGATCATCAATCAAAACTTGTTACAAATGTTACTGTAATATAATTTTAATTTGATGATCAGATCACCAATCTTCTTTTACTTTGCTGTGTAGAATGAATGAACCATAGGAGTGGTTGTGAATATTTTTTTTACATAGTTCAAACTGTTGTTACAAGGTAATAACAATTTCTCATAGGTCAATTCTTCAACGCTGCTAGAAAAATGTTCAGCCACAGCAATAAATAAAATGATCTTTGATTTAATAGATCGAGACAAAATAGTTACATGTTACAATGTATGAGTGTTCCTTAACTGTTCCTTGTTTTCTAATAATATGTTGAAGGTGCGACCGTTGGGGCGAGCGCATTGTTCACTTCATTCGTTAAGATCCGCCTCTTCATTTGGAACGTCTAGACTGTGACATCACATGACGTCGTATGTTAGCTGCATTTCCATAAACAAAGTTTAAAAAGTGCAATGATTTTAACAAAGAACGTTTGTTTGTTTGTTTTGAACATATTTTATTGAGTACATCAAAGAACGTTTAATCTACTATCTGTATGCAATATCCATAAAATCAAGGTGAGTTTATTTTGTGTGAATTTTTAGTTGTTGTTACCGCGAGAACGAAGTTAGCAGTGAGAACAAGAAGCGATGCATTGTGGGTCCAGAATTACTGCGGAAAGAATGTGCAGTAGTCCGAATTTTCTCTTCGCCCAGGCATTGTCGTTAGAGCTCGCAGAGACGAGCGGTGCTTTGCGCCACTCGCTGCGCTCGCTATAATTGTGTTATTCACAAAATGTTCTGCCATGGCAAGTGAAGTATTTGCTGATGGTGACCAGGAATTTTAAAATGGCAAGCAAAAACAATTTTATGTTGCCATTTAGAAACCTGATAGAAAATGTGACTTGGAGCATTATTTACTTGAATAATATGATGTGTTGTAGGGAGGATGTTCTTTTGGCCAAAGAGTCTGGGAACTGGAAGGTGGTCCAAGACTTTTATGCCACAACTTTTGAATCCTTTTTGGAGATTAATGCAACATTCAAGGTGAGACCAACTATAGTTACCTTTTAATCTTCATGATACACTATATTTTTTTCCTGAATTCCTGAATTAAAATACACTTGTGACATACATCACTCTTCTTTTATGAGGTTTCAATTATTTTTTTTAGGGGGTGGGGGATGGAGAGTTGCAAACATAATGAGTGAAATTGAGAACATTTAGTTACTATCAATAATATCATGTACTATTTTTCCCTCCAGTGACTCTATTGGTGCTTAAACTTGTTAGAATTGAGCAAAGTATTATTTTATCTTAATGCTAAAAAGTAATGTGAAAATACAGTATATAGATGGAAATTTTTGCCCTCATTATATTTTCGCCCCTTTTACCCTACTCACAGGTGGGTGAATTCAAAACATGGTGAGTTCAAAAAACAAAGTTTATTTAATTTCTTAAACAGAACTGTTATTGGGCTTACTTAAAACTAGGCAAAGTTGTTTGCAAGTGTGAAAGGTCGAAAAATAACATGGGGCAAAAATAACCCTGTATACAGTATTGCGCTACTGCAAACCAACTTTTATTCCCATTTAAAAAATCTCCACAAGTTTTGATGATGCTGATCACCATCTTTTACTTGCAAATATTTCTTGCCGTGAATCATTTATTTACTTAAATTTCCATGTAGAATATTTTCTGAGTTATGTGAATTAATAGTCTTTGATTGATTTCAAACTGACAAGTCGTAAATAATAGTTGATTTACAGTATCAACCCTGTTATCTTCTATTGGTCAGATACTTCCCCAACTAATAAGCTAACAAGGCTCCTGATGTTGAAAGCATTACGTCATTTTATTGTCGCACTAGAACATGTGTAAGACTACAAATTATTTAATTGTATATTTATCTACTGTGAAATCACTAATTTTCGAGCGGGTTAAAGTTTTGTTGTTTTCGTGGTATGAATTATGAGTCCCATGATTTCATGTTCTCCACAAAATGTTAATTTTTTTGAATGTATAACAACACAGTACATGTATATCTTCAACCATACATGAATCCCCTTGAAAAAACATTTTTTCTTCAAACCACAAAAATCTGACCCTACGAAAATATGTGATTTTACTGTAATTCAATTTTTATTGAATTTATTTAAAGCATGTCTGTGTCATAAAGAGAAACTATAAGTACAAGGATTCAAAATACGGTATCTTTTAAGTAAGGTCATTATATCATTGTATCGGTCTCTATTCCTTAAATTAAAGCAGTGGGCTTTGGCTTCATTTCTTTTAAGGAATGAAGAGCTACTTGGACATTAACCTAAATAATAATTTAATATGTAGCTTGTGTGTAAGAATTCCCCTATATTAGCTGAAAGGTGAATCAACAGGGGGCTTTTTATATAATCTCATTGATTTGACTTATATATTTGGACCAAGTAGTAAGCCTTTCATTGATTGCATGCATGCATCAAGCACAGTAGCTTCCAAATTCATGAATTTTATATATTCTGTAGCATACAAAGGAATCTTTCTGTGTCTATCATGATAGACACCTCTGTATAAATCTTGTTCCACCTCAGCAATTATCAGCATGTATATTTGTTCTTTTGGATTAATTATGCATCACCCTGGAGTCTATAAGAATGTAATCTGTGCATGGTGTTTGTATAATTTTTCCTATTCCAAAAATAAAAAAAGAAAACGAGACTTGACATTAAATTTGATTTTCATTTTAAACAATTATTTGAGGTAAAATGTCATTATAAATATCTTTTGAATTTATTGATTCATTTAATGTCATGTTTTTTCAATCATGCTACATTTTTTTAGGTCTTTACTACTACAGCTAAACTTTGATATATTAATTTAAGCTTAGCAGGACTGACAAATGTTTCCAGATATCCTCATATTCGGGATATTGAAAAAGAGTCAATGAATATAAAATAATTTCAGGGCCATAGATTAGTCCAAACATTATAATATATTTACATTTGCTATGTTTTTCTACTTAAAGCCAACTGTGAAATTGATTTGAATGCCATTTTTGTGTACATACTCACGCATAGAAATATGCAGAGAGAAACTCGTGCTAAAAGGACGTCACAATGAGCTACAGAGACATTAATAAAAAAAAATAACGATATAGAGCAACGAATAATTCAAACATTGAGCATATTTTAGGTGCTTTTGAACATGTAAAATGTAAATATAAGGAATGTTCATAAGTTTAGTGTGAATTATTGGTGTGTAAATCACACAGACTTGCATGTAGGCATATTTTTCATGAAGTGTTAGCGCGCTTCATGAAATATGCCTAGTATGTGACAAGTCTGTGTGATTTACACACCAATAACTCACACAAAACTTAAAAACATTCCTTAAATAATTATCTTTTTTGTTTTAGACACAAAAACATTTGTGATTCATTTTAATCATGAATTAAAATATTAATTGTGAATGTACTCTTCAAATAGCTCCATCACTTACAAATGGAATATTGTGACTAAATGCTTCAAAGAGGAAAAGGTAATAATTAAGGAATCATGTACTGTCTAGTTTGTAAGATATGCCAGCTAGGGCATCAACGATAGTCCGTTATGCATAAATTAATTGTCCCACGTTTCCAACTATGGTTGATGTCCCTGGCATACCCAACAAACTATAGACAGTGATTCCTTATATTTACCTTTATATGTGAAATAAAATTGTAAATTAAAATCTAAATTTAAAAAAAAAAATGCTGTCTAATAGATTTTAAATACATGAGGCCTCACATATTAATTTCATTAGTCCCCGCCCAGTGTCAGACACAAACAGCCGCACGAGATTGACATGCATATATTTACATTTGCTATGTTTTTCTACTAAGCCAACTGTGAAATTGATTTGAATGCCATTTTCATGTATACTCACACGTAGAAATATGCAGAGAGAAATTTGCGCTAAAGTGATGTCACAATGAGCTACAGAGACGTTAATAAAAATGTAATGATATAGGGCAGTAAATAATTCAAAAATTGAGTAACTATATTTTTGGTGCTTTTGAACATGTAAAATCTAAATATAAGGAATAGTGTGAATTATTGGTGTGTAAATCACACAGACTTACAAGTAGGCATATTTTTCATGAAGTGCTAGCGAGCTTCATGAAATATGCCTACATGACAAGTCTGTGTGATTTACACACCAATAACTCACACAAAACTTAAAAACATTCCTTAAATAAGGCTCATGACCTTTCACCTGGTGAAATTAACATTCCGGTTGAATGATCAAGAAATCAACTCACCTAACTTTCAAATAGTTATCACAGAGAAAACAATTAGAAATGGAAATAATTGTGAAATAGTTATACCTGAGGGCATGACCCTTGCACTTGTAATGTTAACTAGATTCATTTGACACACCTTCTTATCATCTAGCCATAAATTATTATCTTAGTCTCATTGTTGTATGCTTTTAGAATTCCCAAATCAATGGAATGGTAATTTGGGTTATTTATGCAAAGTAAATATTCCCCATTGTATCAATGTCCTAATATGAATCTTATTCCGCATTTACAATACATTTCCTGATATTGTCGATATACCATGGAAGCCCCCTTGTGCAAGGTTCTGCATAATTGACAACACAACCCAATACCACGACTTACAACATATCTCCACACCCTCCCCTTGGGAGCCTGAAAAAACAATTATACCAAAACCACAATACTTTAGTGTAAAAAATAGTATGTTATAGAGAAAAATTGTAAATTTGAAGATCAAAGTTCTTCAATGGAAGCATTTACTGCAGGCATAAGTGAAATGTAAAGCTCGATCACTTTCAAGTTTGCAGTCAATTCTATTAGGCATATATATTTTTTTTACAGCATAAACAGAAAAAAAATATTTGTATCTATATTGGTTTATGATTATAAATAAAATTAATGTTCACTTCTAGATCTAGATGATCATATTTATGTAGATACCAATCATTTTATCAGTATGCTCAGAAGCTCTTTAAGCTCCATCAGCCTTATATAGCCGTGCTAGTGAAGGGGAAGGATTGCATTTATAGTTGGAATCAATTAACCTACCTATCATACAACTGTAAAATTACATCGTAAATATAACTATTAGGAACACTCAAGCAACAAGGTTGTGTTTAAAAATGTGCTATTAGAATTCTATAGCTAGTCATTTTTATGCCCCGCCATGAATATGGCCGGGGCATATAGTGTTGTCATGTCTGTCTTCCGTCCTTCCGTCACACTTTGCGTTTAGCTCTGTTCAAAGCTCAGTTTCAAAGAAACTATCCAAGATATTTTTATCAAACTTCATATGCTAATTAAGATATTGATGAGAGCTATGCAACTGCATCAACAATTTTTGACCTTGACCTTTCCTTTGACCTTGACCTCACTTTTCTTACATTAGTGGACTTTTCTCAATTTGTGTTAAAATGTTGCATTACTAAGATACCTTCGGCGGGGCATTCATGTCCTATGGACATATTTCTAGTTTTTATACATTACTTCGTATCTTTTGATGTCTTAATTGTTTCAATATGACAATGAGTGCTATTCCTGCTTAATTCTTTAAGTCTTTTAAATTTACCGTCTCTTGCTTGAAACCTTGCAGCTGAAGTTGTTTAAATACAAATTTTAAGACATAACTAAAAGTAAATATTGATGTGTATTCTACTTGCCATATTGAATTTTTACTTGTGTTTAGACATTAATTAGGCTAGTCCTTTTGGCACGCACTGTTATTTTCATAAGTAAAACTTCCCTGAACACTTTAAGTGTTTTAATTATGCCATTATTTTAGTGAAAAGTAAATTGATTTCCAATACATTAAGCTATAAGCATAATAAGATTAAATACTTTGGCTTATAAGCAGGAAAACATTTGCATTACATTAAAGTGTTCATTTTGAAGTTTGAATAATTGCATATTTTTCAGAGTATAGAATTTTGCCAATAGACATTTATGATTTACAAGTTCATAGTAATTATGAGGTTTTATATCCTGTATGTATGGGATATCAGTCACCCTTTAAATGGTTTTATACAGATAAAATTGAATGGTAGATCAATATATCAACATTAAACTAGCCCGTATTCTTTGTAGATAGAATATCTGTCTGTGATAAATGTAAATATATATATTGATTGTCGATTTGATAAATTTTTGCAGGGGCCCACAGCCATTTTTAAGTGTTAAAGTATAATCGTTATAATATTATTAATTCATACATGTTTGCATGGGGTCTCAAATTCAATTCAACACTACAATATTTTGAACAATATTCCTCTAAATTACTGAACAAATTTAGACAATCAATATATAATCTTATTTGATGTATTATTTTACTTATTTAAATAAAAAGGATCTCAATTGACCTTTGGTGAGCTTATTAAATGAATTTCTTAATGTTTCATTCTTCATATGCCCCTTTCTATAGGTATGATCAGGGGCATTATAAGTATGCAGTGCTTTAAAATCAAATATTTGTCATTCTGTTTAAAGATAGTTCTTCAAATTTGAAATCAGAATTAAAGTTTGAAGATATGCTATTTCTGTCAGCAATCTTTAATTTGTTGGCAAAAATTGCAAATTTTTGGATATATTATTGCAAGATACATTGTTAATTTTCAAGGAATTTCTGATTTTTTAGGACACTATTTAAATAGAAAGTTTACATATTTGATATTTACTATTTATACAGGTTAATGCACTCAAAAACAAGGAATTGTTTCAGAATAATTATTTGCTTTAATAATTACTCAGATTTTGCCTTTTACAGAGAGATCCCAGCAAGGAGTACAAAACTGTAGAGGAACCAGGTCTAAAATTTGAGTTGGTTCACATGGTTTATGAAATACTTTTGAAAATGGTAAGTCATAAGTCAGATTCAATACTTTTAAACTCAAGTGATCAACTTGTGATATGTGAAAGGCAAACTTATAACATTGTGACTAGTTTACTAGGTTGAATTAGTTTATCCATGTCATTTGTTTTCTACTACATTATGCCATTGGAGCCTTTCGGGCCTTTGATTTAGGGATTTTCAGTTTTATAAATAATCACATATAAAACTTAATTATTTGTTTACTGTAAAGAAGTTCAAATAATTTTCTTGCATTTTGTGTTGCAGCCACAAGAGATTCAAAAGGTGGTTCTGAAGTCTGTCATCAATAGTCTACTTAAGGACAAGAGGTAAATATCCCATCTAGATCTGGCTTTGTAAGTTTGTATTATCAGTATACACTACTTTGTTTTTAAACAAGAGGTAAATATCACATCTGGATCTGGATTTATGTTTGTCATATTAGTAAACTACTGTTAAACAAGAGGTAAATATCACATCTGGATCTTGATTTATAAACTTGTCATATCAGTAAACTAGTACTGTTAAACAAGATCGAGGTAAATATCACATCTGGATTTATGTTTGTCATATCAGTAATGTATTGTAAGACAAGATCACGTCTGGATTTAAATTTATTGAGTTTGTTCTGTCAGTGAGCAACTAAAGGCAAGGGGTAAATGATCTGGATTTGTAAATGTCATATCAGTAAATTAGTGTTGGATAAAACGAAAATACTACATTGTACTGGTAACATATGTAAGTGTGTCATATCGGTAAACTATACTGTTAGCTTAGAGGGAAATACTATTAATGTATTATGTTTAGTGTGTACAAAATCTGTTTGGAATTGATGTTCAGGAAGTTAACGAGGATTCTATTAATTAATAGCATATTTCTTAATGTGCTACATACAGATAATTATATGTAAAAGACATTTTAGTGTTGTACTTGATTTAGTAGAAGCTGTCTTAAGGAAAGGTGATCGATTAATAGAATACAGCCATATGTAAAGTGTATGTTTATAGTTTCACATCAGGATCTGGATTTGTAAGTCTGTCATATCAGTAAACTTCTGTAAGATGAGAGGTAGATAGTACATCTGGATTTGTAAGTGTGTGATATCTGTAAACTACTTTAAGATAAGATTTAGATAGCACTGGATCTGGATTTGTAAATCTATGATATCTGTAAACATCTGTAAGATGAGAGGTAGATAGTACATCTGGATCTGGATTTGTAAGTCTGTAATATCAGTAAACTTCTGTAAGATGTGAGGTAGATAGTACATCTGGATCTGGATTTGTAAGTCTGTGATATCTGTAAACTACTGTAAGATGAGAGGTAGATAGTTAACCTGGATCTGGATTTGTAAGTCTGTGATATCTGTAAACTACTGTAAGATGAGAGGTAGATAGTACATCTGGATCTGGATTTGTAAGTCTGTGATATCTGTAAACTACTGTAAGATGAGAGGTCTAGATTTTTAAGTTAATTACCAACTCATTGAATGAAGCTGTAGTTATATAGATATATTCTGTATGTAATTTTAGTATGTCTCAAATCTCTATATGAAATGTATGTAGTATATTATTAGCAGGGAAATAACTGTATGACTACCATATTAGACAATCTGTCTGAATGTTACAACAATAATTTACAGTTACACAATACTGTATGTTAATTGCTTATTTTCTATTTTGCTTCATTTAATGCTTACTCAGGGACCATGACAGCAGAATACACTGGTAAGATGAAGATCCAGATGATATGACATTTAAACATTAAATGATGAAAGATTGATAGAACCCAGGAATTTGTTTAAAATCAGTTAATACATCTATGCATGTATTTGACTGTACATGCATGTACCTACTGATTGTTGAGTTATGCATCTGTATTACTTATAATCCTAGGAAGTCTTGCCAAAACAATACACTAAACCATATGTATTTTAATGTAATTCATGAATATCAGAGCTAGAAGTCTTGATTTACATTATTTTTTTGTACTTTTTAAAGGCCCCATACGAAGGATGACTTGAGAGCTTATTTAGTACTCCTGCAGGTATCGTAGAACATTTTTTAAATTTTATTTTGATGTAGAACTGAAGGGTTATTAATGTTTCAAGTCTGTCAATCCAGCAAATTTCAGTGGAGTAGAAGCTAGGATTTTCTGAATTAAAAAAAAAAAATTCCCCAATGTCCACAAGAAAATTTTGACTTTTTCCAAATGATATCAGAAGAATACACACAAAAAAGGAGAGAATTTGAAATAAGGAAGTTATGTTTATGTGAATAATTTTGTAAAACACTCATGACAAGATGAGTTTTCAAGCATGTTGCTTTGTGATACATTGTGCTTTTTAACAATTTAAATAAAAAATCTAAAATTTTCCAAATTTTAAGGGACCCATCTTCAGTACCCAAAAGTGCTGTGATATGCTTTAAATAATGTCCAGTTAGCAAGTTTTGACGGTTTCCATGTTCAATTCATAAGATGTTTCTAAACTATGGGGGAAAAATCATTCAACACTTGTATTTACATTCTTATTGCTTATAATTAGATTCTTAATTTGACCAATGTTTTACTTGAAAATTATTTTCTATAATCTATATTTAAATCTTTGACATCATGTTTATTGGATGTCACATTACAATTTTTATGCCCCCAGATCGAAAGATCCCGGGGGTATATTGTTTTTGTCCTGTCTGTCTGTTGTCTGTTTGTGTGTCTGTCTGTTGTCAACTTTAACCTTGCCCATAACTTTTGATTGGTTGGAGCTATGACTTTCATATTTCACATGATTGTGTATTCCTTGTGACAAAACCTTTCTTTGGGTACCATCATATTTGAACTTTTGACCTTGACCTTGGAGTTTGACCCACTTTTGCAAAATTTTATGAGACTTTAACCTTGGTCATAACTTCTGAACAGTTGGTGCTTGAGGCTTCAAACTTCAAATGTGTATTCTTTGTGACAGGGCCTTCCTTTGGATACCAACAACTTTGACCTTGACCTTGGAGTTTGACCTACTTTTGAAAAACTTTAACTTTGGCCATAACTTTTGAACAGTTGGTGCTTGGGGTTTCAATCATCACATGTGTATTCCTTGTGACAAGACCTTCCTTTGGATACCAACCACTTTGACCTTGACATAGGAGTTTGACCTACTGTTGAACAACTTTAACCTTGGCCATAACTTTTGAATAGTTGGTGCTAGGGCTTTCATAATTCACATACGTAATCCTTGTGACAAGACCTTCCTTTGGATACCATCCACTTTGACCCTTTGACCTTGACATAAGAGTTTGACCTACTTTCAAAAAACTTTAACCTTGGTCATAACTTTTGAATGGTTGGTGCTAGGGCTTTCATACTTCACATATGTAATCCTTGTGACAAGACCTACCTTTGGATACCAACAACTTTGACCTTGACCTTGACATTTTACTTACCTTTAAAAAAACTTTAACCTTAGCCATAATTTTGAACAGTTGAAGCTAGGGCTTTCATATTTCACAGGTTATGAGGTATATTCCTCGACAAAAAACCTTTCTTTGGATACCAACATTTTTTATCTTTTGGCCTGGATTTTGACTTGCATTTGAGAAACTTTAACCTTCGCCATAAGCTGCCATACAGAGGGGGGGGGGGGGGGCATCAGTGTTTCACAAACACATTTTGTTTGTTTTTGTATTTTGTTGCTTTTGTTTTGTTTTGTTTGTTTGTTTGTTTTTGAATACACTTTGTTTAATTGTAAGAAGTTAATATATAATCAGAAGAACCAGTCTATTAAGAGAGTTTCATCTCTGTATAAACACAGTGTTGGAATTACTCATCAGAAAACTAAATACTTATATAAGCTAAGTACACTGATGTAGCTTCGTAAATGAATAATCCATGAATATGAATAATAATATATGAGGTAATATGCTTTGAGGTGTGTATGGAATTTCCATGCCTCCAAAAAAAATGTGTGAAATTCTGATCTAGATAATATTATATTTCCTTATAAAGTTTATAAGTATATTGTATTCCTATTACAATTTATTATATGAATTTTTATATGTGACGTAAAAGCCACCACTTTTATCAGATTAAAACTGAAGTTTATACATAGTATATACAATTTTAATTTATATCACATGGGCTAGAAACTCAAAAGAACATTATATTGTACATGACGAAATACATAGGAAATGAGGCATAGTTAAAGAATTATTCATCATCATCATTATAGCTACTAATTAATTTTTTAAAAACCGACGGATTAAAATTGCATATGTAAAAACATGAATGTCTATTGGAATTTCAGTAGACTGCATGTACAATTATAATGTTATCAGGTCAGACTTCTTAATGATATACATGTAAAAAGCAGAAATTTTATCATTGCAATTCTTTCTTTGTTAATTGTTTTTATGAGATTAAATGCTTCTCTTTGCAATGCTATGTAATTTCATGTAAATAAATTTACAGTAAAACCTGATTGTAAAGAACTTGCTTACATTTAGGAACTCTCCATTGTAAGGAAATATCTGAGAATTCTGTAGGAAATGCTGTACCTTGCATGTTCCTTATATGGATATAAGTGATAAGGACACAGAATTCGAAGTCCCTACATGCTAAACATGCTAAAATCTTCTTTATAAATAAGTTGTACTGTACTTAAACCTTTTCTAGTTTTCTAGAATTTGTATTACACAATGTCATTTTCTCATGATATCATAAGAGGTTAAGTGAGATTTCAGCAGTCTTTCATTCAAACTAGCATTCACTGACAGATGCTTCAATGGTGGAAAATGTCATTTCAGAATCCCCAGTTTGAGAATTTTTCCACCTATGTCATCTTTGCCCACCTTCTGAGACAGATTGCTGCCTTAACAGATCACGACCACCATTTCCTTGTTCACTGGATGAAAGGGTAGGTCAGAGAAAAAAAATCACTTAGAGGATATTAATACACTGTACATCAGATATTTTTTGCATGTATATGTGTATACTGTAAATCAAGTATTATTTGCATAATCTTTTATTTGCAATTCCTCAGTTTGAAATCAATCCACGGCATTTAATTTACGCAACTGTGGAAAAATTCTTTACAAATACAAGGCAAAATAATAATTGGCAGCGATTAATATTCGCGAGCTAAAGTAGGTTGCGAAACTCGCAGATATTTCTCGCATGTGAATAAAAGTTGGTTTACAGTAATATAGGAGTATATCAGGAAAGCAAAATTCTAATACATGTTTCCCCCACAATCCGGCAATTGTTTCCTGTAGCAAATTTGAACCAAAATGAGTTTGGTCAAAGGGAACTATCTAGATTCATGGTAAATGTGTTATAGTAGACTTCAACTGAATTTTTTCATTTAATTAAAAACCAGTAGAAATATTATTTCTGGTTAAAAAAAAACAAACATACAAACAAACTAAACAGGCTTTACGAAGAAAAAAAGAAACTGATCAGTCACCCTTTATATCTTTATTTCATTTTTTTTTTCTATTTTTATATTTAAAAAAACACCTATTCAAGGACTTTTGCAAATCTTAGGGAACTATAGTATTAAGTACTGTAGTAAACATTCTACAGATATGCAATTATATAAAGCGTACAGCATAAAGTAAAACACTGTAAAAGTCAGTACTTTTTACTTTTACTGTTCATGTATCTATACACTCATGCTTTGACCTTAAAGAAAATTATGTTTAAACTTTCAGTGTTAACTTAATGTCAAAATAAATCTTTGCTTTTTTTAAAAATTATATTTAGGTTGAAGAAACAAGTTTTTCAGAAAATCATAAAGAGACTACAGAACTTTATTTCAATACGACTGTTCCCCCCGAAACCTCAGGATCTCCCACCTATGGCAAAGTGTACCTGGTGGATTCCTAGTGCTACTAAAGTTCTGGCACTTCTCAGTAAGAGCAAGACATTGTCACTCTGTTTCTTAATTGTAAATAAACATTGGATAGATTCTTCATCAGCTGTGGATTAATTACAGTGACAATGTTTAGTCTGTCACAAAGCTGGAAACAAATGCTTTTTTATGCTTTTAGTTGACCAACAATTGACAGACATAATTTTGTTTGGACACCATTTAGTTTCTCAATTTTTCCTCTTTTTTCCCCCATCTGATAAATCTTATTATTTCTGTCTGTGTACATGTTTATCATTAAGTATAAACATGAAATAGAGTAGAACTTGTCTTATCCAGATGTTGTGCATTCCAGTGTCTTATTTATTAATTAATATGATGAAAAAAATTTAGTTCCTCTGACAGAAAATCCATTTTTTCAAACTGTTGTTTAATATAGAATGTTGTATAATCAGGCAAATTTCGATTGAACCATTGATGTCCAGTTTGGACAAGGTTCATTGTAAAACAAGCTAATTCAGAGAATTTGTGTCCCCCTCTTCAGGAAAACAGAAGAGGTTGAAAGAACTGGAAAAATTATGCAGATGGAAAAAAAGGTCAAACTTGACCTTTCAGCCTTTGGCCTTTAAGTAATTAGGTTCACAACCTAAAGTTTCATTGCAAAAGTTTACAGAATAACTAAAATTATTATTTGAAAACTATATATGCAATATAAATTATATCTGACCTTGACCTTTGACCTTTTGTCCTCAAAATCAATATGGTTTTTTTAAGGCCATGGGGAGTTGTGATATAAAATTTCATTGCTAAATCTCAAAGGCTTTTTAAGATGAAGTGTTTGAAAAAAAACCTGTTTCATAGACAGTTTGTGTGAATATATGACTTTGGTCTTTGACCTTTTGACCTCAAAATTTAAAGGGGTCTTCTTTAGGCCCAAGGATATTGTGATATTGAATTTTATTCAAAAAAAAAAGCTCAAGGAAAACTAAAGTTATTATTTGAAAAGTTGTTTTTTGCTATGTATGAATCTCTGACCTTGACCTTTGGCCTTTTGACTTCAAAATCAATAGGCCAAGATGAGTTTTGATATAAATTTTATTGCAAAAGCCCAAAGGCTTTTAAAGATATTGCCTGGAAATGAAAGTGTCACACACAAACAGAATGTGTATGTTTTTGATCTTTTGACCTCAAAATCAGTAGGGGTCCTCTCAAGGCCACAGGGAGTTGTGGTATGAAATTTCATTGCAAAGCTGAAAGGCTTCTGGAGACACTATCTAGAAATGAAAGTTTTACACACAGACAGAATGACAGAACAGCTAGACAGATGGACAGGCAGCTAGACCCAAATTAATATCCCCCACTTTCAGTGAAAGTGGGGAACAACAACTGTTCAGTAAAATCATGTGAAGAGTAAGGATCAGCTGAATGAATTAAGCTAAGGCTATTAAAATGTTTAAAAGAAATTGGAGAGAAAATTTTGCACGCACCTGGAGGAGAAATGTTCATATCTCCTTTCAAATGTAAATATTCATGTACAAATCATATACATTGTGTTTTGTTTGTGTGTGTGTATGTGTGCAACCCTTCAAAGTCATTGTCTGTGGTTTGCTCTATGTCAGTTGATTTTCCTACACATACAAATATATATTCGCTTGCTATTAAATGTGTGAAAATGTTGGATAAGAATTTTACAAAGGAATTCGTGACTCTAGTCATGTTTAAAGCATGGAGGCTATAACTAATACAATACAATGCTTTTCACCTCATTACTATTAAATTAGCAGGATTTATCATGGTGATGTCAACTTGTCAAGTTTCTATTGGTGAAAAGAACAAAGACCATCATTTCAAAGTACAATGATATAAACTGTAAACAGAATGATAAATAATATATGCAGAAGTAGGAGTCATTAGCATGATCTAAGTATCTGGCAGCAATCTGTGCATCAGAAAAGTTAACAGCATATATGGAATATCATCTCAGTCATGAGGTGGTAGTTTTAAATTAATCACAGATTCTGCACTGTGAAAGTCTTTTGCCATAATATTTTATTTAAAAAATATGAAGAATATTAGGCTCTTATCTGAGGCAAAATGTACGATCATTAAGATTTCAACTTATAGCCTTAGAATTACACAAACCTGTTAAAAATGATTTTACTCTTTTAAAAATGCAAGTTATTGTGGTGATATGTTCATGTACTTTATGAATGACATTGCCAGACTTTTATTTTCTAGAAGGGGGGGGGGGGTCACTTTAAACAGCTGCTTTATTTCCACTGCTGTTGATGTACAAATAGAACTGAACCAATATTGGATTTAACTTCATAATGAAAGTATATCTTGAACAGATTTGTAATTAATAAAAAAAACTTTATTTGTAATTTTAAATAAAATAAATGCTGATCTTAGTCAAATGAAAACACATGTTGTTGAGAATTAATGAAAATAGCTACTGTATTTAACAGTAAATTAAACTTCAAACTCATTTTTAACGACTTGGACTTTTTTTAACCCCAGTCTGTTTTTTAGATGCTGCCAACAATTTGACTAGTCCTACTATTGTGCAATATACAGAGTTTTATAACCCCACCCTAGACCATCTAGATCTGATGGCAGAGTATTACACCTGGCAAAACCCAAGCTCCTGTGCAGGGTAACATAAACTTTAATCCAAATCAATTTTAATTCAATTCAATTATGAGATATTTTAAAGTTTAGGCAAACTTTGCCAAAAGTGTAAGATTTGATTACTTAGTTTTTGCAGATGTTATACTAGAAGATATGTCTTTTAGTAGATGTATCTTCATGTTATGTTTTTAAAAAAACTTTATTTCAGATTCTCTTTCTGCCAATATCCATTTATTTTGAGCATCAATGCAAAACGAACTGTTTTACAGCGAGATAGTGAGCAACAGATGATAATCATGGCCAGGGTAATTATCCAAATTTATAATCTATTCTACAAATGGACCATTATTGAATTCATGGGTTCAATGATTCAAATATCTTCTGTTTGTGAAGCAAATTTGTATAACTATACATGAAGTTACTATTTTAGAGTTGATTGTAAGATAAAAAAAAATCAGAAATGAAGTATGATTCTTTGACTTAAATGTGTTTCACTGTAATATATATTGCCCTATTTTTGTCTGGCAAATGTAGTTAATATTAGATACAAATAGCTAAGTTTCATTGTTCACTGCATATTCATTTGCTATATAGATTGTCATCAAGATAGTTTCTTAATAATTGCTTAATTATATGACACTTTCCTTTTCTCCTAAATAGAGAAGTCTAGTTGCTAAAGTACAACGAAGGCAGATGCCAGATGTTGGAATGCTGTTTTTGAATCTTACGGTGAGACGATCCCATCTTGTGTCGGACTCACTGAATGAGATTGCTCGCAAGCAGCATGACCTCAAAAAGAAATTGAAGGTGACCTTTGCGGGGGAGCCTGGTCTGGACATGGGAGGGTTGACGAAGGAGTGGTTTCTCCTGCTGATCAGGCAGATTTTCCACTCGGACTATGGTATGTATGAGTGAATGAATGTCACAGAGTAGGATTTGTTAATGAAATTATTAACAGCTTTAACATTAAAATATAAGTACTTGTAAAGCTAATGTCAGTAATGACAATTATAAAACTGCATGCTTTCTCGACATAGGGCAGGTCATTGAAAAAATCTACTGTTTTAGACCCACTTGGCTAAAACAGACTGTTATGTTCATGTAGTCAGGGTTTCAAATTCAGATTATTGTACATCACCAAATTTTTCAGGACAACTTATTTTTGCAAGAAAGGTATTTGGTTTTTACATGTACATGTATATGCAAGACAAATTTTTCATGAATTCTGGGTATTAGATATATTGTATATAACCTATACTATTAAAAATATATGCAAGAATAAAATTTTTGCGAGCAAACTGTTTTGCATAATTACGCAAAGATAAAGTTCTTGTGAATAAATTATGATTTACAGTATGCAAGATTTGTTAATTGTCATTATTATCATTTAGATTATATAAGCTTGCCATTATTTGAATATATGTGCAATGTATTTTAACACCACAGACAAAGCTTTATCTTTCTACCATACATGTACAACATATATCACATACATAAATGAATGGTCAAATGTATCCCCTTTCCAATGCAACATCTTTGCAGGTTTGGACATTTTGGGGCTTATAATCACTTGGGACTAGACCACTTTCATAAATTTGAACCATATGTAACATGCAGAGTCTAAAGCATCATTAGTTTCCAAGGTAGTCATCAATTATGCTTGTTTGGTCAATGCACTCAAGACTTGCACAAACTTCAGAGTTCAAATGTTCTGGTTAATTCGGTGGATCAAAGTTTCCTTCCATTACTTGTATCATCCACACAAGGTTACACAGTGTAAGACTTAAGTCCACTGGGGATTGACCTGCTCTTGAAGTTATAACTTGGTCATTCATCCATAAGATATAGTTCATCATCTGTTCCACAACTGGATTGAAGTATATGCATCATAAGATTGTAACATTTATATATAAGACTGGTCTTGGTAGGGTTTATGGTTACGAGGGCTCTTTATTAGCTGTCATAAGGAACTGCCTCTTTTGAGCCCCAGGGGAGGCTCTTGCATTAATATAAGTCTAACTTTGTTCTGTCAAACTCAATCAGTGAGGCTAAGAAAGATTTTGAGATATCAGAGAAGTCGAGATCTTGAGGTCAAAATGCATCAAGAAAGTGGTTGGAACTTCCAACTCACTTTGAAATATCCATAGTATTAGAAATATTGATGTTCAAGATGCCAAAGTTCAACTGTAGTTAGCTGTTTACTATCATTCATTAATTCACTTGGCTGCATGTGCAGTAACAATTAATGGAATACTGGACGTGTGTTCAATACCATGATTAATATACAACTGGTTCGACTGGTCTTACAGTATTAGTAATAGTCTAGAATGATTCCAGAAGTTTGAAATTTTGTGACCATACGCGCGAGGGTATTTTACGCAGTTCTGAGCTTACCGCTTAAGTAGTGTAAATTTCCCCCACGCGTAAATAACCACTTTTATGAGGGGCATTGAAAAGTTCTGAGAACTGTTTGATAAAATATTAACCGTTTCACGGAGGTTAATAAATTTGATACCACTGAAAAAAGCTGGAAAATTTGCATTTATTTTGATGTCACTTTCCTATTTTTTTGACGTAATAACTCTGAAAATGACATCAGAATCTTGAATGTTTAGCATACTGAACAGTCACGTTTTTTGTCCACATGAGAAGATCCGTAAAGTGCTGTCAAAGGCTTCTTTAAAAGGATATTTCGAAGAAAATTTGCAGGGAGGTAGAGTAAGACTAAAAGAATTGAACTATTTATCAACAATTCCATATTTCATTTTTTGGTTGGTTTATAAGCATGGTTTATGTCCGGTTCTGCTATCATAGGTATTTATTTAAGATTTTTCTTTATACAGCTGTATCTTCAGTTTGTTATATACATGTAGCTCTCCATTGTATTAAACAAATTAAACATGTTCTGTATAAAACTGAAGCATATCAATGCAGTTTTCCACAAATGTATTTTGAGTAACAGAACTCTTACCGTTTAGGAATAAAACGTACAAAAGTCTTCCCTCGGACTTGTTTCTGTGCCTATTTTTTTTTCATATTATTTCGAATTCGGTGCTCCAAAACTCGCTATTGCTTTCAAATGACATCTGCCTGTAAAAAAAATAATACCTAAAAACTAGAGCCGAGCTCGTTGCAGTGCAACGAATAGGTCTTCCGTCGGAGCTCCGGACAGGACAGAGCGACCTTGAGTCAAGGTCATGCAATATCTTAAGGTTATAAACAATCCTGTAAGGGGTATCAACTTGCAATGTTTCAACAGTAGAAAGACAGTAAAGGAATGTAAAATTCCCCTGTCAGTGAACTTGAACTTGTCCAAGATTATAGATTTTTTTGTTTGTTTGTTTTTTTTTGTATGTTGTTTAACGTCCCTCTCGAGATTTTTTTCAATCATGGGGAGATGCCATGGAGATCTGCAAATTTTGAACTATACTCAGCACTCATTGCCATTGAGCAGTGAGGGATCTTTTTCGTGCCAGCACCTTCTGCCAGACGGGACCTCGGTTTATACGGTCTCATCCGAAGGACCCGTCTCTGCGTCCCACAGTGGGATTCGAACCTGCGACGTAAGGATCAACTCCTTACTCCACGACTCTAAAGCAGACACTCTTACCACTGCGCCACGTGGGCGACTAGACCTTTTTGAATTTTACACTTATTACAGCAGTGACCTTGTACTTGACTAAATGACCTATGTTTAGGTCAAAAACAACCTTTGAACAAATTATGAGCTTCCAGTGATACTCAATGACAAAAGGTATACCTGGAAAAGAATATTGCACTTTTCTGTCAGTGACCTTGAACTTGCCAGAAAGACATAGGATCAAGGTCAAAACATATCCTTGGATCATAAGCAATCTCTGTATCAAGTAAAAGCTTCCAGTGATTTTATATTACAAAGTTATAGCATGGAAAAAAAATTAATATTTATCTGCCAGTGACCTTGAACTTGCGGGAAAAACCTTTGTTATAGGTCAGGAAAAACCCATCTTAAGCAATCTGAGAAAAAGTTTCCTGTGTTCCTCCCACCCCTTATAAATTTATAATCCAGGCACAAATTTTGCAACTTTTTCTGCCAGTCTAGTACAATGTTATCTCAAACCGGTGGATCATAAGCAATCTTTGTTCCAATTATGAGCTTCCAAAATTATAGCACATACAATTATCTTACACTTTTCTGTCAGTGACCTTTAACTTACAGGAATGACCTTGGATGAAGGTCGTGGCAAACCCTTTTGTCATAAGCAGTTCCTGTATCAAGTATGAGCTTGCAGTGACTCTCTATTACAAATAAATGGGTCGGACAAAACTTTGCTATTTTTTCCAGTGACCTTGAACTTGCCGGAATGATGTTGGATCAAATCCATGACATACCCTTGGATCATTAGTAATCTTTGTACCAAGTATGACCTTCCAGTTTCTTCATAAAGTTATATCCTTGGCAAATTATCACGTACAGACAGCTAGGCAGAGGGACAGTGTGATTCCAAAAGACTCAAAACACCCCCACCCCAAGCCCACACTTCGTTTGGGGGGATATATAAATTCCTATGTTAAATTATGAGTACTCTTTCCGGCCCAAACCTTCTCCCTGGAATCAAGATTTGAAAAAAAAAATGAATGTATACTATGTTGGAAATTTTCTCATTGTAGTCTATAGGGGTTCTTGGGAATACTATTTCAAATCACCCCATGTGCAGATCTAGAGGGGGTTGGAGGGCAGTTAAATGTATATACTTAACCAAGTAAAAGTGACCATGACCCCCCCCCCCCTAGAAAATGCGGACCCTTCCTCGATAACGCGGATCTGTGTTAAAATGGTATGAAAAGTCTTAGGTATGAAGCTTTAAAAGTCAACGACCCCCCCCCCCCCCCCCCCCCCCAACACACACACAAAATAGGTTTTTCACGTTTTGGAAAAGTTTCTTTTCTTTTTTTGGCTCGTCATGAATTTTCTGGGTTGAAATATTTTTTTATTGGGATCCCCTTTTGTTAAAAGAGGATGTGACCCGTCATTTGAACAAAACTTTACCAAAAATATTCTGTAATTTTCGTTGTTATGGCCCAGTGGTTCTTGATAAGATAAAAATGAGAAAAATTTACAAGTACATGTACATAGCTTTAGAACGACAACGACGATAACGCTTATATACACCAAGAAAACAAACAAAGATGAAGAATCATGAACAGGAAAGCTTACTAGGGTCTTTGACTTGGGAGATGAGATACTTATTAAAAATTGAAATTATTTTGTCATTTCTTTTACGATCGACGGGCCTGCATTTCAAATAGAGAGAGAGAGAGAGAGAATTTCTAGCTAGGTCTTTGAATAACATTCAGTGACATTGGTTCAGAAAACCAGGTCCTTAGGAATGTACATGTATATAAAATAGGCAGTGCCTTTCTCTCGGAATTCATCACCTGCTTCTGTAAAGCTCTATCCTCACTTGTACTTAAATGTACCTGGTAAAACCAACCAACTGCGAAGGAAAACATTCTAGGCCTATTTATTTCGGGGATGGGTGTATACGTATAGTGATGAGAGGAAATTTATTCACCTATACGTTCATTAAATATGAAAGATTGTTTCTGAGTATTTGTGTACGATCATACGACTTTCGTGTTAATTTATAAAAGTTAGATTATGTAAGCAAAGAACTAAACTAACATTTGTTAGATGAATTAAATAATTATTTATCCGTTTATAAGGGTTTTTTTTTTAGATATCTGTAAGAACCACTTTATTTTAAAAAACAAATAATCGTCCTATTATGGGCGTTCATGATATATTAGACAGGCTATTTAATTAAAATATAATTCAGATATCGACATCCAAGAGAACAACACATTCTTTTTCAGTGGCGGATACAGGAATCTTGAAAAGGGGACCCGACCAGTTTTGGGTCGGGGTAGGGGCCCAAAGCCACACACAAAATGATTTATTAAATCTTGTGTATATTTTGGATACAAAAGGGGGGGGCAGGTCCCCTGGGCCTCCTCTAAATTTGCCTTTTTTTTTTTTCATTATAAAGACTTGCAGAAAAAGCGAAATACTCCAGACATTTAATAAAAATCTCGAACCTGATCTAAAATGCGTTGACAAAGTCAAACCAGACGGTTTCATTTTTTAGGGCATTTTTACAGTGATATGAGAGAAGTCTGATAATTGTGTTTATTTTAAGAAATAAAGTTTGGCATTTTTCAACCTCGTTCGGTATAATATAATTTACTGAATAGATATTTTTTTCCGTATAGGAGAACACATGGACGAAGGATAAAAAAAAAGTGGTATTCTGCATGTACATGTAGTCACATCATTGCTATTGTGTACTCGGATTAAACCCAAAATCCTTCGTTACATTGTATTTGGGTATAATTTTTGCATGTTCTCAGGTGGATATTCATTTATTTTTAGCTGTGTAAAGACAATAATTTCAGTTATAGAGAAATGTTTTTAATTCATCGTTTTTTTCCATCCTTTTGATTTACATGTTTGCTTTGTACACAAAAGTGTGTGCTCATGTACCGCTGTTTCTACCCGCTATCGATGTGATCAGGGAGAACATGATATCCTCCAGCAATTTCTTATGAAAACACTCAATGAAAACATATTAGGTGAAAATATATATACTCGTTAGTATCTTAATACCCTTAGTATTTACCTGTTTAATTGCAGTGTCACCAAGCGTAACGATCGCTGGCCAGGACTTGAATATAATCTATTACCGTTATTAAAACAACTCGTCAGCTGAGCAGACCTATGATTTAAACAGTAAAATAGGGAAATTCCAGAGTTCGAAGTGTATTTATTTTGGGCGCTCTTCCACATAAACAAATAAAACCGCATTTACACGTACTTACATGCATATACCAGTAATCCGTATCATGTGTATATTCAGTTTATTAGATGAAATAAAACAAATGCATAAGATTAATCTTCCTAAACAACACGTTTTTAAAACAATCTATCTAATATAACTAACGGTATAAAATAACAAAGAAAATAACGGGTTTGTGTTTGTATCTAATATGGAATGAGAACAAATTTTAACCTGTCACATACTTCGTTTTCCAGACACTAATTGCCATGCGTAATCTTCACATGCACGGACCAAGAGGTCACAAGTTTGAAATGTATGGCTTCTCATTGCGCGAGTTTTGTCAACACATGTCGGAGTAGACTTATCTAAGCCAATTGATTACCATAGAAAACTGCATAGGAAGTTTTTTTTGTACACTTTTAAACGGGTAAAATTCATTCGACGCTCAATAGAATTTTCAAATACAAGTGAAATATTTAGGTTACTTGCGTCCGACCTAGTATTTTGTATGCAATAAAATTGTAAGTTAGGAAGAAAATAATACAAACTCAAAAGTACTTAATTTTATTTTCGATTTTCCTGACAATTTAAAATATGACCTTCTTGTACAATAATCGTGATAATTATATACATGGTGTTAAGTGTTCATAAAAGAAATAGCAACTCGTTAAATAATAACATTAGAGAGATAAATAAACTGTTTCTTTAATACGCAAACAAAGTGGTCTTTTCGGCATTCAAAATGCATTGAATTTGAAGTGAATACGTGAAAGGCAGTTAAGACTAGCTGATTAAAACAAGCGAGTGATAAACAGTAAGACGAAATCATATGAAAGATTCGAAATGATTTTAAAGTAATTTTCAACAAAGCGCAATTATCTCGATATCAAGAAATACAATGTTTATAAAAATAAATATGCAACTTTCTTATAATTCAGCGAATAAAATATAAATCGAAATGTACTAGCGACTTAATCAAAGATATTATGGAATAATCTGAAAGATTCAACATATTTATCCACTCATCACTTAGTTTACAAAATGTATTTGGAATGGCCATTCTATGGTTTGTTTTGTGTATGACCTTAGATCGCTGATTCACACGCCGATTGATCCCCGGTGACCCCCTTTGCCACGCGCTATCGAGGGAGGGGTTACATAATTGTAAACACATAAGGTGAATGTAAAAGGCGTGTACTTAATGGCTGTAAATAGTCTATGTTTAAAGTTTTGTTTTATTTTCTAACGTTATTGTTTGTTTCTATATGATAAGAAGAAAAGGTTATCCTTTTTCCCACTGTTTAGTAGACTGGTTTATCCAAATTTGAAAACAAACGAAATAAAAGGGAAAGTTGTCAGTAAATAATTTGGAAATAAAGCACAGTATACTTCAAGAACCTTGATTCTAAAGAATATTAGCATCAAATATAGCCAGGTTTATTATTTATAGTAAGTTTATCTTAATTACACGCATGAAGAGCTCTTGTTTACTTGCTGAATGAAAACAGTAACCTGTATATGTGTTATGCTTCTAGCTCATTTAGAACACAAGACATAAACAAAATAACGTTTTCATGAGATCAATAAGATGTTAAAGAACAACTTTATTTCCGGCAGCTATTTCGAAATATTTACCGTTTTTGAGTTATAAAGCAAAAACTTTAAAGGGCCCCAGATCCCTAATTTTAGGGGCCAGACCCTTTTTAGTGGTGTCAAATGAAAAGCCTTAAAATTGTGCACAACTTTTATTCTACATGTCTTATCAAAATATTTTTAGTTTAGAAGATAAAAAGGAAAATATGTGTAAATTTTCGCTATTTTAGGCGTTCTAATTTTTTACCCCTCTCTAGCGCCATTTTGAATACAGAAATTGAAAAACAAAAACCGATGTGCACAACTTCAATGCTTCTTTTATTTAAATTCGGTAAAATTTCTACTCCAGCTTTTGTAGTCTCTGAGCCTTTGTCTGGAAATGAAGCCTCTCAAATTTTCATTTAAAGGGAAATAACCCAAAAGCGGAAGTGGATTTTTGAAATGTTTGACAGCATTCTGATAGAGTTTTGTAACGTCTATAAACCCTGCAAATTTGAGCAAAATCCATTGAGAAACGAGCGAGATATGAGATCTCAAAGTTGGCGTCTAGGAAAAAAAAAAAAAAGAATAATAAGAATAATCTTAACCATCAGAATCAGTAGAAGGTCTTCCGCCTGGAGCGGAAGACCTTAATTATATGTGAAGAATGAATCATATTTCAAAGTAAACATTCTCTCAACTGGCATTTGCGTCCATTAGCGTGCATCCGAGTAATGAGCAAAAGTTGACTTTAAAATTTTAATTCGCTGAAATTGTGTCTCTTGTTATGTCATTTTTATGGTCAGTATGCGAAACACACAGGATTCTGACGTCATTTTCGGAGTTATTACGTCATAAGAATTACAAAGTGACGTCACAATATGTGTATATTTTTCTGATCTTTTGAAAGATATCAAATTCAATAATTTCTGTTAAACGGTTAATATTTTATCAAACAGTTCTCAGAACTTTTCAAATGCCCCTCGCACAGTAGCAGGAAGCAAATTTTGTGACTTGATTCCCAGTATCTGTAGTTTTAATTTAAATATATCAATTATTAACAGGAAGATTTAATTTCTTATTGCAGGAATGTTTACATATGACAAAAGAGCAGGTGTTCATTGGTTCAGTTCTGCACAATGTGAGAGCTACCAGGAGTTCAACCTAGTCGGAGTGGTATCCTTTTACATTTATTGTTGGATATAATTTTTAAAAAAAATCGCAGGAGGATGGGAATGGGAAGCAGATACAAATCATATACCGATTTAGTTAATCAGATTTAAGTACTAAACAGTATTAACCTAGTCATACATATTCTTCAAATTTAAGTGAAGACCGCAGAATTTATCATTTGAAGTAGAAGTTGCTGATGGTAATTACATATTATCACTGACATGGTGTTGCTTTTGAATCAGAAGATTTGTACTTTGAGGTATAAATGAAGTTGTGCTTTTGTATTGGTTTATATTCTATTATTGACTTTATCCTTTGATTAACAGGTCGATCCATTTGTTAAAAATTTAGCTTGCTCCAAAAAAGACATATAATTATAAGATTGAGACTAGTTTTAATGTTCTGGATTTCGAATGAAAATGTCTATTTTGTGTTCAAGCTTTGCAGTTTTATAGAACTGTTTTATGCTCTTTACCATTCTACATGTATAAAAATTCAAATATTTACACAAGAATCTAAAAAAAAAATGAGAATAATCCTTGAAAAATTTCTCCAAATTCAACAATGAATCGTTACTTTGATTGATTAGTATTTTCAGCTGACACTTCAGGTTCAGTGAATATTTTCCTATCATTTGTGTCTTAATATATAATACATGATCATATAGACCTCATACGAGTCAATAATTGTACATTTCCAGTGTTCTTGTATATTGTGCACTGCAAAGGTTATATGCAAATGAATATTTCATGTGCAAATGCATTACAGTCGAAATTGCTTTGTAGCCTTGCTCCACCATGTTTAATTTTTAATTTAGAATTGATGTATTTCTCAATAATGATCTATGATAAACCACACCACCTAAAACATGCAAAACAAAGATGATTGTTTATAATAGCTAAAAATTATGATATGCTTCTGAATCATTTAATCATTTTGTTAGTATATTTTAAGCCCCATCACTTGTTTTCTGTTTAGACAGGTAATTTGTTATGTATTGATTAAATAATTTCGATTTAGTCCCAGCAGGAAATGTCTTTTATACTGTCAAGTTTTTTTTTTTTTGACAGATCAGATAATTTTTCACATCATATATGATAGATAAACCAGGCTTTCAATGGACGAATTCCCTGCACTGATGATTTAATTAAATACCAGGATATATAATTGTGGGATATATTCTTTCAAAATGCCTCTCCTCCTACAGTTTTGTTAGAATGATGATAAATTTTGAAGTAGACTACACAAAGATACATGATTTAATTCTTTTCCTGCAGGTTTGGTCCAGTTTAAATAAATCTGCAGATTTAAACTATGGTATACAATTATGTTTCTTTTTTTATTTTAGATAAGATGTATTGCCAGGGTAACTAAAAATAAAAAAAAATCTGTGAAATTCTTCCAAAATGCTCCACCACTCCTACATTTTTGTTGGATTTCAGAAAAACTGGATACAAGTCATAATTCTGTAAATGTAGACCTAAAAGAAATTCAGGTCCAGGGGCCCGTTTCATCAAAGGTCGTACGCCTAGTCGTAGCGCTAGGCCGGCGTAAAGTCGGGACTAGCACCATGATTTGCGTTTCATTAAATAGCGTATCTTTACACCGGACTAAAGTTAGGCCAAAATGTTATGTCTACTCGTGGGTAGGCGTAAGTTCGGGCGTTAACTTAAAATAAAGTGAGTTTACTGATTTTAAAACGATTTAGCCATTCCTTAAGAAGAATTACGGCTCTAAGAAGTCTTTTTAATACAAACGATGCATTATTTAATTTCAAAAACTATGAAGATTTGGGGGGGGGGGGGGGGGGTACACTCACTCGGGGAAGTAGTTGATATATACAGCAGTATTTACATAACTTTAATAAATTTCTTCATAAACGATTGCTTTATTAGGGGTACATTTTAACACTATCTCTTAAGTTTTGACAATCCTGAATTTATACACATTTGATTGTTGTATTTTGAGTAGGAGGTATTGTAAATCGACTATACGATATACATTTTGTGTCATTCACTGAAAAGGAACCTATTAAAAAATGTCTAATTTGAAAAAAAATATTTTTCAAAACACATTTTTATTGAAAAAAGTATTTCTTCCACAAAAGCACAGTTATCTTCTTTAGCTATGGTTAATATCTATATTTAGATAAATTAAATATAATTTTTTAACTCATCGTAAAACCAAGGAGGCTTTTTAAAAAAAAAATTATCGAGCTCGAAAACTCCATTTCTTATTTACTCCACGTCTACATGCGTGGATCTAGAGGGGGTCAGGGAGGGGGGCCCAGTCCCCTTCGCTGCAATTTGTGGAGTTATTTATGTACAAGTCTAAAGTAAGTAAAAATAAAAAATTACCTTGAACTCCTGTTAGAGTTAAGATAGTGGTTGGTATGAAGTTTAAGAATTTAAGGGAAGGATCCCCCTCCCCCGAAATAAGATTATCAGGTTTGGGAAAGAAAATCATGTGTTAACAAGTTTCTCAGATGGAATGTTTTTAAATTGATGACCCCCCTAACCCCTTGAAAAAAAATCACAAACTGAGCCTGCATTCAGAAAAAGTTGTTAACGTTCAAAAGACGAAAAAAGATTCCATTTATTCGTGAATATACTGGAAAGTCAATATATCCTAATATTGAATATAAATCAAAGAGGATTTTATCTTGGGGACTAGGCGCAATAAGTCACTCGAAAGCTTCTGAGAATCATCTGTCCGAGAAACTTGACTCGGAAATGACAGTAATTTTACAATTATTATGCCCATGTATGACAATATATTAATGTTTAAAAAATGAATGATAAATTTCTGCCTTTTTTATCGGGAAAAATAAAAAGAATCCGCATTTTTAAAAATAAATACTACAATTTTTAGGAACAAACGGAATGGCGTACCAGGTCATGCCATAGAAGAAATGGGAAAAAAAATCATTTTTGCATGATGATGCATATTTTGTATTATTTTATCGATTCTTAATAATTCAGTAGTCCATCATATGCCCAGTTACATATGTATACAAGTACATAAAATTGAAACGGATTATTTCTCCCTCTTTCTTTCTCTGTCTCTTTCTCTCTTCCTGAATCAAAATCAAGAGGGGGGTGGGATAATGTAAATATTCCAAAATAAATATTTTCTTTCCATTCATTTACAAGATCATTTATTCCTTTTCCAAGACCTTTAATTTTGGAGTTTAATGAGATGGTGTGTTGTAATTAGTTAATATCTTATAATAATTAGATTGAATTCGAAGATGCATGTTTTCTACAAAGTCCCTAAAAATGCCTGTAATTTTTCTTTAAGTTAATGTATATTTATGTGTGTTGTTCTACATGTACATACATTATACACAATACGTAACTATATTTATGTTTTTTGCGCATGTGCAATACAGTGTTGTCAAGGACTTAGTCCTGAGACTAAGCATATCGTTTACGACTAGACTTACGCCACTTCGTGAAACGCTAATTACACCCGACTAAATTATAGCGTAAGCCACGGAAGTACACCTAAGTTAAGGCTTAAATTTACGACTTTTGATGAAACGGGCCCCAGGTTCATTTTTTTTCTTCTACTATTTTTAGCACAAACCAGTAGAGCCACAGTCTCATCAGAGACTTTTGGTTTATTGTCATGCCTTAACAATGCCTTCAGTTAATGGGCTTGGCCGTGTACAACAGTATTATTCTGGACATTCATTTTCCTCCCTGTTGCTTTAAGAAGCTTCTAAGTCCTGCAGTTGTGCCTTACAACAACCCACAAGCTATGGTCGGTGTCTCAACAATGTCATTAGAGGACCTCAAAACTGTCCAGGCTGTAAGTTTTTGATTTTACAATTAATTAATATTAAACTTTTTTCTTGCATAAACAATCAATGAAAGAAAACAACTCACAGCTGCTTCATGATTGAAGGAATTGATCGACATTTATCAATTGTGCTTGTACAAGTTAGAACAGGGTTATATCTTATAATAATGTTCCTCGACATACATGTGTGTACTTGATGCCAGGTCTTTGGCGTCTTACTGTGAATCTAAGAGGGCTGCAATTATATTGTGTCAGATAATTGTTCTTGGTACTGTTAAGAATATAGATTTTCACTTCAGATCTTATCATTATAACATTAGAAAAATCAATTCATCAAAGTTTTTAATGACATGCATTTAAATATTGCATGAAAGGAAGTCAGTTTGCTAACCTTGAGTTCATCAAATTTCAACAAGTTAAAAACAGTATGTGGTCTAAAGGAGGCAATTTCTAAAAGATGGAGCAATTTTTATACTTTATGAGAGTTTAAGCATATATGTCTTTTTGTATCTTAAAAATCTAGTATTTAGTTCTCGTGATTCAATAAAGAGTTTGGCACAATCATAATTATCACAATCTGGGTTTTGAGATTATATAGACATGTATTTTACTTATATATATAATTCATAATGATAAACTCACTGATAACTATCACAATCTGGGTTTTGAGATTATATAGACATGTATTTTACTTATATATATAATTCATAATGATAAGCTCACTGATAACTATCACAATCTGGGTTTTGAGATTATATAGACATGTATTTTACTTATATATATAATTCATAATGATAAGCTCACTGATAACTATCACAATCTGGGTTTTGAGATTATATAGACATGTATTTTACTTATATATATAATTCATAATAATTATAAAGCTCACTGATAACTATCACAATCTGCGTTTTGAGATTATATAGACATGTATTTTACTGATATATATATAATTCATAAAAATAAGCTCACTGATAACACCATAATAGGAAATCTTTTGAATTTAAGTACATAATTATACAATACCTAGGATAAGATATTACAGCACTAATTAACACCTAATTTGACTGTTCCTCCCTCAGGATGTAGCGTATGGGCTACAAGACTTACTAGATTATGATGGAGATGTGGAAGAGGACTTTGGATTGAGTTTCCAGGTGGGTATTGGAGTTTTCTGAAAAATTTCACAGCTTTTACATACATGTATATGTACATGTACTGGTGTATTTGCATTTGTTTAGGACATTTTCAGAGGTAGTTAGGATTATTGAATATTGCTAACAAACAACAAAATGATATAAGCCTATAACTTAACTGAGGTATGTCAACTTCACAGGATAGCATATCCACAGAGCACAATGTACCAGGTCAATATTCCTTTCTATGAGTTGATCAATATATGTATTCATTTTAGAATTTGAAGTTTGAAAAAATAATCACTAGTATAAGCTCATCTTTGGATTAAGCTACAATGACTATGTTATTTTAAATTTTAGTTTATGACTCGATCAAGTCAGTACCATAAAATATCATTTTGCACATTTCTGATGATAAGCAACCAATTTGATTTTTTGAATTAACCAGTAAAAATAAAATAATAATTAAGAGCTGCATGTGTAATCCTACATACTCATCCTTTTATTTTGTAGGTGTCTGTAACAGAGTTTGGTCTTGTAAAAACTATTGATCTCAAACCTAATGGATCCAACATTCCTGTTACTACTGAGAACAGAAAAGGTATATTACTTTTTACGTGAACTTTAATAGATGAATATATTTGTTGCCCATCCCACTATAATTGTAGATCATTATATTTATAAGTGAGACTAAATTTTCGCAAGCTGTGGCTTCTGTTGTACATGTATATATTCCTTAAATAAAAAATAAACGCGAGAATAAAATTTTCACAGCGAGTCAGACTCGCATAATTACGCAAATAAAGTTCTCGTGAATAAAAAGTGATTTACAGTATTTTTTTTTTGTATTTCTTTTTAATTTTAATCCTGTAATAAACTGATCCAAAATTATGATACCTTTGATCTTTGATATCTTATGCATACAGATCATATAAATGATTAGGATGTAATATGATTGTAGTTAATATTGTTTTAATAAATTTGACAGAATATGTTCATCTCTACGTAGACTGGATCCTAAATAAATCAGTCTATCACCAATTTCAAGCATTCTATCATGGATTTCACAGTGTCTGTGCTTCAAATGCATTAATTGTAAGTATAAACTCAACCCAGAGATTTACAAACCATAACAGGAAATGAGAGATTTTCTTTATACAAGAATTATAGTTCATTCATCCCTCTGTTTTCTAATTATGAAATTTTGCTTTAATGCTAATGATTTTTCAAAGGATATAAACTTTAAAATGCACACAATTCAGTGTGCCTTATATGGGGTAAAAGCAAAGCTGGCAGCAATGGCCTTTTAACTTGACAATTTCATAAAGGAAGAAAGTCAATTGTAACTACTCGGCCATTTCCGTGAACAATAAATAATTATTTCTCTCTCAGAAAATGGCCGAGTAGTTACGAATGGGAAGAAAGTCTTTTATCCCAGTGAGACTTGTCTCCCTTCCTTATCAGAAGGTCAAACTATTTTAAATATTCTTGTAGTGTTAGCATTAATATTTGAGATACTTTCATCAAATGTAAGCTGTATTTTCATTTTCAGCTTTTCAGTCACACACTACCCTTTAATAAGTTGAAACCCCAGTTTTTTTTTAAAATGTTTTGGGGGAGTGTAAGTATGATTTTACAGTAAATAAAGTTTTTCTGTGTATAATTTTCCTCGTTGTTTGATGTCACTGTTCCGTCCAGATGTTGCGGCCCCAGGAAGTAGAGATGTTGGTTTGTGGCAACCCAATCCTGGACATGAACGAGTTACGGAAAGTCACCACGTATGATGGATACAGTCCACAGGATCAAGTTGTTAAGTAAGACTTAAGATTCATTGTTTCTAGGCTCTGAAATTTCTCAACCTTTGGGATGAAATCCTGTGCAGTATGTTTATACTCTCAGTGCATCTAAATAGAAAATTATGGAACATTCAACATGTTCCTGTTGACATTATATAATAGAAAGACAACACTGTATTGAATTAACATATTTCAATTCAGAATGAAATAGATATCATAATTTCCTATCAAAAATTCAAATTGATGTTATATATATATTGGCATGGTAGTGTTTTAAATATTTCTTTATAATTTTGAAAATGAAACGATTTATATTTGTAGAAATTTTTGGGAAGTTGTTCTTGCACTACCAAACGATCTCCAGAAGCGTCTTCTGCTGTTTACGACAGGAAGTGATCGTATTCCTGTGGGAGGAATGTCTGAGATGACATTCAAGATTTCCCGTGTTGGAGGAACAGATCTGTAAGTAGATGACAAAGTATTTTTAGGGCCACATATTTCATTCTCTATGAGTCTGAAGTTGTCGCATTGAGTAATATAAGAACCTTGATCCAAGCAAAGTATACAATGTTAAACTTTTGTTTTTGGCCTGGTACTGAAAAGATTTGGGGGCATACTGTCTGTCTGTTTGTCTCTGTCTGCTAAAACTTTTACCTTGCCTATAATTTTAGATTGGTTGGAGCTAGGACTTTCATATTTCATGTGTATTCCATGTGACAAGACCTTTCTTGGGTTCTAACATATTTTACCTCATGACCTGAAAGTTGGAGTTTGACCCACTTTCACAAAATTTTACCAAATGAATCTTTTACTTATGGCCATAACTTTTGAATGATTGGTGCTAAGGCTTTCATACTTCAGATGTGATAAGACCCTCTCTTAGATACAAGTATTTTTGACTTTTTGATTTTGACCTTGGAGTTTGACCTACTTTTGAAAAACTTTTACCTTGGCCATAAGTTTCGAATGATTGGAGCTAGGGCTTTCGTATTTCATATGTGTATTCCTTGTGACAAGACGTTCCCTTTGATACCAACAAATTAACACTTTGAAGTTGAGTTTGACCTATTATTGAAATACTTTAATCTTGGCCATAACTTTTGAATGCTTGATGCTAGGGCTTTCATATTTCACGTGTTTTCTTTGAGATAAGAACTTTCTTTGTGTTCCAACAATTTTGACTTCACCCTGGAGTTTGACCTACTTTTAAAAAGATTTATCTTTGGTCATAGCTTTTGGATGCTTAGTGGTAGGACTTTCATATTTTACAGGTTTATTTCTTGTGGCAAGACCTTTCTCTTAAATATCAATATTTTTGACCTCATGACTTTGGAGTTGGACCTAGTTTTGAAAACTTTGAACATTTCTGAATAGGCCTATTTACATTTGCAGTGTTTTTCTAGTAAGCCAACTGTGAAATTGATTTGAATGCCATTTTCGTGTATACTCGCGCGTAGAAATATACATGGAGAAACTCACGCTAAAGTGACGTCACAATGAGCTACAGAGACGTTAATAAAAATATAACGATATAGGGCAGTGGGAAAATCAAACATTGAGTATATTTTTGATGCTTGGTTAGGGTTAGGGTTAGGGCCCTAACTCTATAACCCTAACCCAAATCTCTTTGGATAAGGGTTAGCTTCAGGGTTGCTGTTGGGCTAGGGCATGTAAAATGTAAATATAAGGAATGTTTTTAAGTTTACTGTGAATTATTGGTGTGTAAATCACACAGACTTGCACGTAGGCGCTAGCGCTCTTCATGAAATATGCCTACGTGACAAGTCTGTGTGATTTACACACCAATAACTCACACAAAACTTAAAAACATTCCTTAAATGGCTCCTCTAAGGGCTTTCTTATTTCATACGTGTATTTCTTCTTTGGGTACCAATATTTTTAATTACTTGACTTCACTAACATTTGAGAAACTTTAACCTTTGCCATGAGCTGTCATAGGGAGCATCAGTGTTTCACAAACACATCTTGTTATTATTTCACTTTTATTCTTAGCTCACCTGAGCCAAAGGCTCAAGTGAGCTTTTCTGATCAAAATTTGTCAGTCATCATTGTTGTTGATGACATTGTCATTGTAAACAGTTAAACATGTCAATAGGCAAGCATCTTTAGGTAGTGCAGATTCAGTTTAGTTGTAATCATGGCCTGAAGGGGTAGGGTGTGCCCACATGTTGCATTGGAATATTTAAAAAAAAAAATCTTTAAAATCCTAATATTAATGAAGAATAGCAAGACAATGATTTGTCATAGTAATATGCATAGCAAGGCAATGATTTGTCATAGTAATATGCAAGAATCCTAAGGGGAGTGCAGATTTGAGTTTATTCAAATTATAAACACTAGGGGTATAATGGAGCCACAATTAGGGATCAAAGCTTTACACTGAAATAAAAAGGAATTTATTGATATGAACAAGAGCAGTAAATTGTATTGACATTGATAAATAAGATTCACAAGTTGTGTGGATACAAGTCTTTTCTTTTTTCAAATTAGTGCCCCTTGTGGTTAGGGTGCAGCTAAAGTTAGGGATCAAATGTTACCTAATGCAGCTGTACAGGAAAGAAGACCTTTAAAATATTTTCTCCAGAGCAGAAGGCATGTTAGTCATATTGATATCATAGCATTGGATTCAAGTTATAATATGGCACTTTGGGTATACTGGGTTTGGTAAGAATGGTTGGGATCAAAATTTTTCATGTGAAAAGAGAGCAGAAAAAGATTTAAAATCTTTTAAGAACAACAGGGCCAGTGTGACGTACTAATATAAGCTGAGCATTGTTGCTTAACTTGTTTAAATAATATTTAAAACTTCAATATTGCTATGCTGAAGTAGTCAGTTTGGAATTATCAAAATGATTTTGATTTTACAGACTGCCGATGTCACACACTTGTTTCAACATGTTGGTTCTACCAGCATACAAAAGCAAGAAGACAATGAAACAGAAGCTGATTCATGCCATACAGAATGCTGAGGGGTTTGGTTTAGAGTGAACTGTTCAGGTCTCTGTAGAGGTTTATATTTTTCATGAACAGATATATATTATTTGAGGTTGTAAATGATTTGGTGTTCTGTGATTTCTTGAGAAAATTTTTGATTCTATCTCTGAGTAAGTCAGACTTGTAATTGAATGTGCAGGGAATATAGTATGATTTTAAAGATTTATTTGTTTTGAGTTGGTGCTGGCACTGGCAAAAGTTATTAATTAATGTTAGCACTATGAAGAAAGATGTTTTATTGATGCAGGTTATCACATTAGAATAGGTGTACATTTGTTTTAAGTTTTAAAATTGTTGTGTATTTTGAATTATCATGACAGAAGTTACAGGTGTACAGTGTATAACATTGTATATCTATAATTCTGGGAATAAGTTGGTTATAAGGACAACAAATTAAGTCAAAAAATGAAAGTTTTATTGCAGGTACATTAAGGTAGTCCAATCCTCAGGTTCTGAAAATCAGCTTTTAAGTAATATTGAAAATGCTCACAAAAATGTCTCTGACTTCACATAGTAACGTGAATTTACCCATGGAATTTCTTTAAAGTTCATCATTATAGTTAATCATATTATATAGGGAAAATTATCAAATCTTAAATATATTTTCAGGAAATGCAAATAAAAACACCAGCTATGCATTTTCTAATTGAAAATTGATCAACAAATATAATTTAGGATAAAAAAAAATATAGGTATTCAGGCATTTGGAGAAAATTGCATCTTTTTTATGCTTCTACAGTATTTTAGTTCTTCATTTTACTTCAATTGTCATATAATACATAGTGTAAAAAGCTTGTGCTATCATTGCTATAGGCATCACATATCACATCTAATTTCATATCATGCTAATAAGCATTGGTATCTAATGCTATACGAAAGGTAATTCGATTTCTCCAAGAATGAATTCATTTTTTTTCCTTTTATGGGGTGCAAATGTCAACTTTTTACAAGACAGTTTCTAAGACTTGAAAGAACCTTGAATCATATTAAGATGCATAAAATGAAAATTGTTGCATGAAAAGATCTCAATTTCAAGCTTCATTTTGGGACTGTTTGAATAAAATAATAAATTTAGGAGTTATCCTTCCTGGCTGAGGATTGGCTATTCTTAATTGTGTATGCCAGTTTTTAATTTTTGGCATGATATTTACGAGATTTAATGTTCAGGAGCAATTTCAGCTATTTCCCAGTCCTTAGACTTTGCAAAGGGAGACAATCTGTATAAAGCGCATTTAAACAGAATCTGATTTTTGGGATGTGTAAATAATTGATTCAAAGTACATGTACATGTACTATCCATTTTTATATTGTTTTTCTGTGATAGTACATGTACAAACAAAAAATGCAGCTGTATAGAGTTGACTTTTTAAATAATCAGTTATTTTTGTTATGAAGTTGTTCTAGCTGACAGCTGGCTAGCTTAGTGAACATTAATTGTTATTCATTTTAAATACATGTATAAGAGCTAGATTAGAGATGCACAATTTACACTATAGACCTTAACAGTATTCTAACAGGGTTTTCATATAACTTTACTTCAAAGAAATGCTCCACTTTTTTGATAACATCTATGCATGGTCAGTAATTTTTTTTCCGTAAATCAACAGAAAAAAGCATCTTGTGAGATTGACATTCTTGTTTTACTTTGATTAGATTTGTATCAGCAGAGATGAATATGGCATATGTGTACACAAAAACGTGATGAAACAATTTTTTGTAGTGTTCATGAAACTATATGAATAAAAGATACTTAGAAATCAGGGACTGATCCAGGATTTTCAAAGTTGCCCCCCCCCCCCCCAGTCTGTTTACTTTAATATATATATATATATATGACAGACCATTTCTTAACTTAAAATGAGAACTGCATGGGCGAGTATTTGTACCGGTACTTCTTGAATGTTAAAAATTGCCTTTTTGTTTTTATAACTGGCATGTATAACAATTTCAAGCTGGTGCCCAGACACAGTTGTATGAAACATATTTAATTTTCCATGTGTAAAAACACATGGCTGTTTATTTTCATTGAACATCCGTCCTGACATACATATATGTAAATAACAAAATGTTACCTTTTATAATTTATGAACAGTACATACCTGTACCTGATACTGTGTACGTAAAATAATGTGCTTTCTTAGTTATCTGTGAAATACTTTTTTCAATTGTATATATATTTAAATTGTCACTAAAAATGATTACTTCAGAAAAAATACATGTATCGTACTTTAACTAAGTATTAATATATTGAAAGGGGAGATCGATTGTATAGTTCCCATGTGTTTAAAGGACTTGTACAATGTACATGTAAAATTTTGTCTTAATTCTATTATTATAAATGCTTCTTTTATTGTGTGAATCCAACTAAAATTTAAGATCATCATGTAGCATATAAACAAAATTAATGTCATTAAATCTTCAATATTTTAATATTATGTTATTTATCATGAGAAAATATGCATGCTTGTTGGTCAAAACAATTTGAGTAATCACACAACTAAACTTGCCTTTGAAAGTAATTTAATTGTTTAACTTTACACTTATGTTCATTTTAGTTTGTGTTCAAAGTTTACTTAAATAATCACTGTTTCCATAGAGTTCATACCGTCAATTGTTGAAAAAAGCACATCTATTTCAAATATTATGTATATATATATTTTTTTTTATTGTGTGAGTGCATGTATTGACTAATATGACTTTATTAATATCATTAATTTTAAATACACCTTTGAGGTTCATCAATTACATATGATTTAGGAACTGTGATAAATTTTGTAAAATTTAGTCAAGATTTCAGGATTTTTATTTTGTGTATTATTATGTATACATTTTAATTAAGTTTTCCCCCATGCATAACAGTAGAATGCTACAGGTATAATAACTCAGATAATTCAAATTGTTTGTTCTTATCAAAGTTTACAGTCTAAGAAAATGTTGAAAAAATTATTAGAGTTTTTAAAGTTTATGTTATAAATTTTAAAGAAATATAATGTGATACAATTATTTGGATTTAAATATTATTTAATATAAAGAGAAGCATATACGTTATATTTATTTATCTATTTATTTTGATTGGTTTTGTTTTTAATTTATCTCCTTTAATATAGATTTATTTTCATCCCCTGGAAAATATTGTCAAGATTATATATATATATATATATATATATATATATATATATATATATATATATATATATATATATATATATATATATATATATATATCACAAGATCTGATCCATGTTTGTTTTGCATTGTTACACATTATCAATTCAATATTTTTTTTTTCAATTACAATAAAAAATATTGCATAACTTTAGCCTTCCCTGATATTTTCTAATCAAAAATTGCATAACTTTAGCCTTCCCTGATATTTTCTAATCAAAGTTCACATAGTGTATCATATCATTAATATGTGCTGTATATGTTAGTTTTAATTTTATCCACAGAAAACCAGGACCAATTTTTATCAATCCATTCACAAAGATTTTTACACTAACCAATGAGCCAACCAAATGATTCAATTTTAAAATAAGACTGATTTTCAACTATAGTCTAATGCATAAAAGTAATTTTTTGAACTTATTCAAAGAAGTTCAAATTATGCAGGGGAAGATGCATCCCCTTTTTTCTTAGTTTGAAAATAATTTATAAATGGAATATGGGATTGGAAGAATCTGCTTAGAGGCAAAGTGCCATTAATGCCAAAATTTTATGCTATGCAGATTAAAAATTGTTAATCAATAGCTACAGAATACGGGTTGTATTTGGTGTTCACAAACTCATGGCTAAATGGTTCAACGGCTAAATACTACTGGAGTGTTCCAAGGAGCGCATGTGTCGCCTGCTTTATAGCATCATTGAAGATGTAAATAAATCTAAGAGTGGTTTTTTGTTTTGTTTTGTTTTGTTTTTTTCTTTTTTGGCTTAGTATCATAGTTCCTGCGTTTGCCTGCATAAAAAATCCATGGATGTATACAGAAAGACTTCGATAGAACAACATTATAACATAAAGTGTGACAATTAAATTTAAAAAAAATATTCTTCAACCATCAAGGCTGTAACGAATAATGAAATTGAAATTATTAGAAATAATTATATACCAATAATCCCCTAGATTACAGATGTCATAACACGGAAAAGTGGCTTGCATGATTTTCAAGTATGCTTGTCTTTGCATGATATTCATATGAATACGGGCTCTTTTATCACATGAATATCATGCGAATTTCTTTTTGCATGACGTTTGTGTGAAAACCGCTCGATATTTTCGTGTGAATATCATGTGTGTTGTTTTTCGTCTCCTTCTCATGCGAAGAATTTGCATGTTAATTATTCGTGCGAATTTCATATAATAAGTTCATGCGAGTCACTTTTGCCTATATACTTGTAAAAAGTTATGAAACCCAGTGGGTATTTTGCCATGATGTAATCATAATGTTGAAATTACTTGTGAAGAATGCTAATAGGATTTTTATTTCTGAAAATTTTATAACACTGTAAAAATCTGCCATTTTAACTCTCAATGCTGTTAATGATGGTACATGCATCACCATGGAGAAAAATACATTTATTAAACTCTGAATTGATGTCCGCTTGGTACACTGTATTAATCATCACGATTTCTACCAAGTTTGTCTAGCAGGTTAAATTAAAAATGGAGTATTAATTTGATGCTCCATAAATAAAGGGAAATATGTATTTATATAAATAAATTAAATATGATAAAGGCACCCATTAAAAAGTAGAATAAGTTTGCTGTAAACATCATGTAAATTCCCATCCAACTTCAACTTTCGCTTATTTTGGCAAAAGATGGATGAAGACGTGTAAATTTAAGGTTCTGGTGCTTATATGTATCTGTCGTTTACCGATTTTTATTTGGAAATTTAATTAAGTACACAAATTTAAACTTTATAAATTAAAATTATATATAATGAGATTTAGATATTTTTGAATGTCAAAAATAGTCCTTTTTGCTTCGTGATATATTTCTTCGTGTTTTTTTTTTCTTGACAAATTGTTATGAAAAAAAAACATCTTGTAGTAAATATGCAGGAAATCCACAGAAAATAGATTTATCCTTTAAGAAAACCTAAGATTTTTGATTTTTTACTATTTGATAAAATTTACAATTTAGATACACACATCTTATTATGGGAGATGGGGGATGTTTGTATTACGGGGGATAGATACATTGAGTGCTGCAGAGAATGAACGTCTTTTCTCTATTGTTCAAGCATTTATCAAACATTCTGGCAGATATACTTGTATTAATAAATATAAATGCAATACATGTGTTTCTACAAAATCCATTGATTTGTAAATTTTGCGACTATTGTATAGTTTATATAACTTTTTTTTTTAGCTGCGACTTACTTTAAACTATACATGTAGGGAGAGGGCATAACATGTTTTTAGAACTTCTGCCATTATAAATATGTTCAAACAATGAAAAGAAAAGAATACCTATACCTGTAAAAACAATGAAAAATCTAGCATCCTAAATTTAAAAAAAAAATGATGTAAAATGAAATCAGATTATTTAAATGTATATATTTGAGATATATAATCAAGTTTGATAAGTATTTTTCATTTTATATTAAAAGAGCGTGTATACAGGTTAAACAAGAACATTATAACAAAATCTGTAATTGCCGTAATTGATATGTTAGAAATGGAACGTACGTGTATCTATACAAACATCTCAATGCCTGTAAATCATGACGATCACCTTCTATAGAAAATATATAAAAACGGAAAAGGTCGGGTGGGTTACATAAAGTGCTGTACATGCACGTTATATAAGATACACTACCCTGGGGCGCGTTCAGCTTGCTGTCTCCTTCTCCGTTGAGAAATCTTATAGAAATTTTACATCATTTTTCATAGTTGAATGCAAATTATTTGCAGTGTTTATGTGTTTTTCAGCAATAGGCTCCGTAGATCTTGAAAACAGAGAGGTTTAATTACACTTTTGACCTAGGTGACAAAAGGTCAAGTTCTCCTGATTCGAATTACGTATTGGCTGATAGTATATAAACCAGTTGGGAAAGTGGGTATCTCTGCAGAACGCCTTTGATCGCAAAGGTAAGTACATCTAGTTGAACAGATAAGTTCTTCTATTATAATGCATATTTTTTAACATACTGAGGCTACAAATCTTGGATATATTGACGACAAACGAAAATGGAATAATTTTAATCTATTAAAATGAAATCTTTTTAGATTAAAAAAGAGTGTATGTAGTTAGAAAAGAGAGCGACAACCAATATTTTGTTCTGTGTAGAAAAAAAATTTGAAAATACGGCCCGCTATAATTTTTTTCTTACAGCTAAGTAAAAACCGCTTGCCTTTTCTTTTCACCCAGTATACATGTATTAATTCTCGGATATTAATGAACAGTTTAAATAAATAATAATTTCAGATGAGAAGATCCGTATATTCCGTCATCGCTCTGGTTCTCGCAATGGGTGTTGCCACCACCCTGGCTGGAGGATATGGATCCTCAGGATACTCATCCTACGGTGGCGGATATGGACTGTACGGAGGAGGAGCTTACTCTTCAGGATACGGATCTTACGGAGGTGGATATGGATCTGGATATGGAAGCTACGGAAGTGGATATGGTGGACATGGTTCCGGATACGGAAAGTCTGGAAAGCACCACTCAAGCACTGCTGTGTACATTCCATATGCCGTTCCCGTCCCAGTCCAGCAACCAGTCGCCCCTCCCCCTGCCATTAACCCTCTTTTGTTAGCTGGTATGAGTAACAACAACCAAAATGACGGAATCTTAGGCAGTGGAGCCGGTCTTCTCGGTATGCCTTTACGTTTCTTAAAGTTTTACATTATAATTCCTTACGTATTCATCATTTGAATCAACATAAAACAACAACTGTTTTATGAGCAGAATTTGAACAGCTGTTATCGAAGCTTATACCTCTATATTACTTTATACTGTTTTGATATAAGAATATAACTTTTTCAGCTTTGTTGTTCCTCATCCCTCTGTTGTTCAATAACAACAACACTACTGGTTAATTAACTGATGGATAACTTAAAGGATAGCTAAAATACGTAAGTAGTTTTTTTTAATTAATTCTATGACTTTTGTAAACATAGTAAGCTTGAAGAGTCAAATTTAGTGTAAATTATTCCAGTCCTTCTTGATGACTTCTTATTTGCACGCAGTCCTTATTGTCTGCATAAATCTTTTGATAAACACATTTAATTTCATATACCTTTAATTTTCTTCTAGGAACTTTGTTGACTGTACATAAGTTATAAGTAAAAGAGCACACCCTGTCTGGTCACTTACCCCTGTCAATCACGGTCCCTTCCTGTCAGGTGATGAGGATTGTCCACGCCCTACGTGTACGTGAGAATGATCTACGAAAGGATCATGGATTTGTACATATGATCAATAAATTATGATTTTCACAAAATAATGCCTCAGTTGTTTATATTAAGAAATAGTTGTATGGCCAGAGAAATTGACTCATTTTGTGAACTCTATATTGATTCCATATTTCCTCTTCTGAATTAAAGACTGATTTCATAACGACAACAAAGAGCAAGGGCCACTTAGGGTCTTTTTTGGCCCTGTAAATTTCTGAAAAAATTAAAACTGCATAGTTTTAGTCCACAAGGCAATAAATATCACTTGAACACTTCGTGACTGAATTTCTACTAAAAATGACGTAATTTTCTTGACCGTCAATGCGTTGTGACGTCATGAATTGCGTCATTATTCACATATCCCGAATATTTCTTCAAAAATGGCCAAAATATGATGCTATTTTTCAATATTTCGTATCCAGACAACCTCCGATCCAAAATGTGCAAATATATTACGAAAGAACTGCTTATAAAGATTATAAAATATATTTTAATTTTTGGATCGAGGGGTGTGCTCATATTTTAATTCTTTGTTGAAGGTCACCTGTTTTCTGCAAAATTCAAGAACATTGCAATTTCACACAACCTGTTTTCGAGTATCTGGACTCTTTAGAGGAAACTTTTATATACAAACTGAAAGCGCCAAGTCTCTACTTTATATTGATGTTGAGAAAGGGACTTAGTGTGTTAGTGGATAAATTGGTTTATCTACAGGGCCATTTTATGCATAAAGTGAACCTAGCTATATATATATATATATATATATATATATATATATATATATATATATATATATATATATATATATATATATATATATATATATATATATATATATATATATTTATTTATTTATTTATTTATTTATTTTAGGAATGACGAAGCGGATTATAAAACAGCGTAAACTGACCCAAACCAGGTTGTACTCGAATAATTTGGCCAAGAATTAGAGTCATTCCTTATAATTTAATTTTAAAATCATTAAATAACTATGGGTGTAAAATTTCGTTGCTTTTTATTAGTTCAAATTTGCCGCTCAATAATACAGCCGTAGTAACGGAAGTAACGGAAGTGATGGGAAGCGAGGGGAGGTAAAAACTGATACATAGGCCTAGCAGCTTGTTTACATGTGGTAAGATCGAATTATTGTTTGAAGTTAAAGGTATATTTATTAAATCTGGAATTTTCCATGAATCCCGAGGACTGGAAATGAGAGGATTGTTATGCATATAGATGATTCAGCTGGTTGTCGGGGGGGGGGGGGGGGGGGGGGGGGGGGTGTCCCTATACCAAACCAGGTTATACAGAAATAATTTGTGTTCCTTTTTGGATATTAACCAATCAGAGGCTAGAATACAAACAAAATTAAATTATATATATATATATATATATATATATATATATATATATATATATATATATATATATATATATATATATATATATATATATATATAAAGCACTAAAAATGACCAACGACACGAACAATAATAATTGTCAAATTTTCGGGACAACCTGTCCCTTCCTCAGGACAAAGAAAAAAGTTAAGAAGTCATAAAAACAAAGGAAATAGAGAAGCAAAAACAACTAGCACTACTACTAAACTACCAAACACTAAATATTTACAATGTTACATGTTTAATTTGGAGTTTATAAATAGTTGTGAACAAAGAAATCCGGAGCGCTATGAATTGCGTCCGGTCTATCGGGTGTAGTCTGGTGAAGTGTGATTTACATAATTGAACGAATTAATTATCGCTAATTAATTACGGCCAACAGTAAATCGTACATTGTCTTATTCTCTCAAAATAGCGTAACTCTACATGATAAAAAGAAATTAAAGAAAGATAATATGGAAGGACAATTTTGAAATATGAATTTGGATATTTTATAAATTTGGAAATCGGAAAAAAGAAAAGAAATAAACGAAAAAGTGAGCTGTAAATATTTGGGTAGGTTGTTCCAGGATTACTAATACGAATTAACGGTAAAGTTTACACTATATAGAGAGAATGAACTTGTTTGTTACAATCCGGGATTGGGTCTAGTTCACGTTCATCCTGGTGAAGTCATTAAGTTTGTTAATACCATTAGGGCGGAATGACTTCAGCCTGTGCATCCAGAACTTTTCCTTGCCTTTTCTCTGCGCGTCTGTCCATCCTGGATTATGGTCAATAACCACTACTGTCATGTCCTCCCATTTGTGACCTTCAAGGTTGAAATGTTCCCCAACGGGTTCATTGAGTTTTTTGGTCCTAATGGTAGAACGGTGATTATTGACCCTCCTGCGGAGATCTCCTGTTTCACCAACATACTGTTTGGAGCAAACTTTGCAACTGATGAGATAAATGCAGTTGTCTGTTTGACAGGACAAATTCCCTAGTATTTTGTAGCTGCGGCCTGTAACGGGGCTGTTAAAACTGTCTGTGTTAGAGCTGTACTTACAGAGAAGACATCTTCTGTCAGAGCAAGTTTTAAAGCCCCCGTTAGGTAATGGATTGTCCAATCTGGTTCTTACTACCATGTCCTTCAGGTTCCTCGGGCGTCTGTATGCAGCCAATGGGGGCTCCTTAAAGACCTCTGCCATTCGTTTATTTGAGTGGAGAATTGGCAGATTCTTTTGAAGGATACCGCTGAGGTTCTTAAGGACGGGATGGTATGTGGTTACCAGAGGGACCCTGCCGCTATTGTCTTTTTCCTTGTAGCGTAATAGGTTTTGCCTGTCATGTCCCGCCATCTCATCAATAGCAGTTTGTACGGTGCGGGCATTGTAGCCTCTCTTGCATAAGTGGGACTTAAGGAGACCGCTTTGTTCTTGATATAAGGCAGGGGATGAACAGATGCGCCGAATTCTGGTGGCTAGACCCTTAGGCACTCCCTTGAATGTGTGTGGGGGATGACAGCTAGTTGGCATAAGATACAGATGGGAATCTGTGGGTTTCGTGTGGAGACTGAACTCGATTTCACCATCAGTCAGGGTAGATGTAGTATCTAGGAATATGTTTTTCGAATTAGATACGTCTACTGTAAATTTGATAGACTGATGAAAGGTGTTGGCAAACGAAATGAATGCCTCGAGGCTCTCGCGACATTCCACCCACTTCATCTCTATATCGTCAATGAAACGCAACCAGCTAAGGGGCCTAAATGGTGCTTGAAGTAGCAAGTTGCGTTCCAGTCTGCCCATGAAAATATTGGCATAAGATGGTGCCATTTTCGTACCCATAGCAGTGCCATTAACCTGCAGGTAATGTTCTCCATTAAACATGAAGTTGTTATACTTGAGAACATGTTCAAGGAGCTTGGCAAGGGACTCGGTAGAAGGAATTTGTATGGATCTACTATCCCAGACTTCTCTACAGGCTTCGATACCCTCATCGTGCGGAATATTGGTGTACAAAGATGTGACGTCCATAGTCACGAGAAGGGTATGATCTGGAAGGCCAGTAGAGGGCGTCTTGTTAATGTAGTCCGTGGTGTCCTTGAGATAGGATGGCAAATTCTCTACGTGTAGACGGAGATGTAAATCGATGTATTCAGAAATTTTCTCCGTGGGGTGTCCAATAGCGCTAACTATAGGGCGACCTGGCATACCTTCTTTGTGTATCTTAGGAAGCAGATAAAATTGTCCTGGTCTACAGTCAATAGGATTGAGTGTCTCATAGACGTTGATACCAATCTCGTTTTTCTCAAACATTTCGTCAAGAGTTTTGGTGATGGCGGTGGAGAAGTCTTTAGTAGGGTCAGAGTCCAGTTTCTTATAGAAACGTTCGTCTGAGAGTTGTCTATGGGCCTCCGCCATGTACGTCTCTTTATCAAGCACTACTACTGTAGAGCCTTTGTCTACTTTCTTGATTACAATGTCATCCCGATTCTTTAATGATTGTAAGGCGGATCTCTCTTCCTTACTCAAATTGTCGGGAGCCTTGTCTGGCATTGAAAGGAGTTTCTCTATGTCTGACTCAACGGCGTCAATATACGACTCAAGGGCTCCGCATTTGCCCGGTGCAGGTTCCCAGTCACTTTTTGGCCGATAGAGTTTGTGTTCCTCTAGGTCGTGCAATTGTGGCTGAGAAGAGTCATATGAGTCAACTTCGGAGTTTTTTCTAGAAAAATGCTCCTTCAACCGAAGTCTCCGAAAGAAAGCTCGGGTGTCCTCTCTGACTTGTTTTTCGTCGACCTCATGTGGCGTGGGACAGAAATTCAGCCCCTTGGAAAGAAGTGAGGTCTCCGATTCGGAGAGAGGAACACTAGATCTATTGAGCACTGGGCAGACGTCAGGAGTTTGTGAGGGTCCGTCCCTCGCGATTGTCGTTAAGCGCTTGAAGCGTCTCGAGCGGGGCTTACGTGTTTTGTTAACTCGGACCTCTGATCGGTTGTTCCTGGTCTGTGGAACACGGAAATAACGGAAGTGATGGGAAGCGAGGGGAGGTAAAAACTGATGCATAAGGCCTAGCGGCAGCCTTGTTGTTTGTTTACACGTGGTAAGATCGAATTATTGTTAAGTTAAAGGTACATTTATTAAATCTGGAATTTTCCATGAATCCCGAGGACTGGAAATGAGAGGATTGTATGGATACAGATGATTCAGCTGGTTGTCAGGGGGGGGTGTCCCCATACCAAACCAGGTTATACAGAAATAATTTGTGTTCCTTTTTGGATATTAACCAATCAGAGGCTAGAATACAAACAAAATTAAATTATATTAAAATATCCTAATGGAAGAGTTTTCCTTCTTTATTTTTCAAGGGTTGAAGTACCCTCGGTGCTATTTCAGAAATTATAAACATTTTCAGACTTTTAAAAAGAAATCCTACATACTACATGTAATACACCTAATATCTATTTTGATTTTTGCCTTATATCTATTTAGAGCACCATCAGCATTACAAAAGAGTAACAACTTCTTCTATGGATTGTTGTATGTATGATCACGTTTTAAATTTATTCCTTTATGATCTTTC